AATAATAATAACAATAATAATAATAATAATTCCTTAAATATATTCAGCACTTTTCTGGACACATAAAGCACTTTACATGTTTTTGGCTGCAAAACTCCTCTTACTATAAAACACACTTTACTGGACTGTCCTGCTTTTACTGATTCCAGAAGACTTTTTTATGAATTGAACTCTTTTAAGGACATTTTTAAGGACACAAAGTGAAACCAGAAAATATTTTAGAATTTTTATCATTTATTACAACAAAAAATCTTATTTAATTTATGTTTTATTTTGTTTGTTGATTTTTAAATTGTATATTTATTGTTGAAAGATTCCTGCCATAAAAATAGCTTTGGTTGCTGACATGGCATTAAATCCTCATCCACCACCAGTGTGCAGCATCCTACTGGATGACATGCAGCAGTCATTTTGTGCCAGACCCCACACCAGCTGATTGGTGGAGAGGAGACAGAGTGATAAAGCCAATTATGATTTGGGGATGGTTAAGGGGGGCATGATACCGGAGTTAAACCCTTACTCTTTTTCTAAGGACATCCTGGGATTTTTAACCACCACAGAGAGTCAGGACCTCGGTTTAACGTCTCATCCGAAAGACGGCGCTCACTGAGCAGTATAGAGTCCCCATCAATATACTTGGGCGTTAGGACATACACACACTGCAGGGTGAGCATCCCCTGATGGCCTCACTAACACACACCACTTCTAACAGCGACCCTGCTTAGCTTCAGTGGGCGACCATCTCAGAGTCGCAGCGAGCTAGCTGCAGTTACAGCTGCTACATCTTTCAGTTTTAAGGATATCTATAGACCTTTTTCTTGGCTGCTGCATAGAGGGTGCCATAGCGATTCCGGTAAAATGTTTAGAACTTCCGTTTACAGCGTTTACAACTGATAATTTGCGATCCGAAAATGGGTTTCAATAGCGTTTTGAGTGGATTACGAAGTGTTTTTGTAACGCACAACTTTGAAAAGTGTGTGTTAAAGCCGTTATAATCTGTCAGACAAGGTTCAAGCATGAGAGAAAAACGTTCTCCTTGTTCACATGTCTGGTCAGGAACTATGTTTCTAACTACAGCTCCAGAGGTGTAGTTGCGAGTGCTCAATGTTCATTGGAGCGATGGATTTAGGAAATGGAAAATCAACAAACTGTTTGTAATGACGAAACTTGCGACCTTAATTGGCTAACGATGGTTTTGGGAAACCCACCCCAGACTGAGATGCTGAGAATGAAACAGCGCGATGCCGACAGAACAAAATACAAACACGAGTGCAAGAACGCGCGTCCCAAGCATGCACAGAGTGCGCACAGTATGCGCGTGCCAACAACGGCGCCCATGCAACGACACACAATGACAGATAACAAGTGCTCGACCCGAGAAAACTTGAGCCAAGCACAACAGGAGAGAACAAGACAGAGCTACTGTAGTGTCCGGACTCTGCCACTAAAACAAGAATTTACACGATTAGAATGGCAGAACCCTGACAGCTTAGGGTAATTAGTCAAGTTATTGTATTATGATGGTTTGTTCTGTAGACCTTGGTAATGGTGTTTAAAAGGTTAAAATCTGCTTTTATTCTAGTCGAAATAAAACAAATAAGACTTGAAATTGAAAATTTCCTTGCTCTGTTAAACATCATTTGGGAAATATTAAAAAAAGAAATTCGTAGGGGGGCTAATATTTCTGACTTCAACTGTACAGTATATTGGCTCAAAACATTATTCATGCTGCTTACTAAATCAACACAATTTTTTTATTTGGGGGGGGGGGACAACTTAGTTGTTTCATGTTCAATCCACTTAAATTTGTAAAAACCATTAGGTCAACTTAATCGATTTGTGTTTGGACAACATGGAGGATTTGTGTGGAATCCATCATTTTTTACAGTGTATAGTATAATACACTTTACTATAGTATGGTTCAAAAACACTATATTTGCTATAATATCCTATTAATATAGTACTTTTTGTGAGCACCCATGTAGTGTTTGTGAAGAGTGTATTAAGTGACGGCCGGGTGTGATGCAGGAACGGGTGGATCTAAAAATGACGCACGACACAAAGCAATGATTATACATTCCTCTGAAATAAAAGCTGTGTCTGTTAAAAGCAGCTTGACCTGTTCATCCACACAAGTGATTTACAAGAGATAAATGAAACCACAGGAGTCTTGAGAAGATAACTGTGCTCAGAACACTACAGCTGTGGGAAATATTAATTTTTTAGGGTTTACTGGATTTATTAGGTATGGGTTTGAGTCAAATGGTAATAAAGGTATATATATATGTATAGTTGAAGTTATTAATTCAGCCCTCCTATTTATTTTTTTCCCCTCAATTTCTGTTTAACGGAGGGAAGATTTTTTCAGCACATTTCTAAACATAATAGTTTTAATAACTCATTTCTAATAACTGATTTATTTGGTCTTTGCCATGATGACAGCACATAATATTTTACTAAATATTTTTAAGACACTTCTATACAGCTTAAAGTGACATTTAAAGGCTTAACTAGGTTAATTAGGTTAACAGGCAGGCAGGTTAGGGTAATTAGGCAAATTATCGTGTAACGATGGTTTGCTCCTTAGGCTATTGGGAAAAAATATATAGCTTAAAGGGGCTAATAATTTTGACCTTAAAATGGGTTTTGAAAAATTTAAAACTTATGTTTTGGTCATGTCCCAGATTATCTGTATTTTGGTCAAATATTTTTTTCATCTTACTCCACGATATTTTGTAATGATGTTTGTGCAAATCACTTAACTGCTGTCTTTGGTATTGTATATGAAAATGACAATTTGTCAAAAAGTGAATTGGACTGCATAGCCTTTACTTCTCTCTTAGCAAGATGCTTGATTCTAATCTATTGGAAGCAATCATTTCCCCCTTCTTTTAAACAGTGGGCCAACGATGTGTTGCATTTCCTTACTTTGAAAAAAAAAATACTGCAGTTTAAATGGTTCCGGGTCCAAATTCACTGCCATGTGGCGTCCTTTCATAAATTATTTCCATAACCAAATGTAAATGTAAGTGGACAAAAAGATGCTGATGCTGTTTTGCTTGTACTGATGTTGTCTTCACTTTATTTTATTTTTTGTCTTTGTTTATTGGTACACAATTTTAAAGCACAATGTTTATTTTTATGTTGTGTTGTTAATTATGTTGATTAATGTATGTTTTTTGACTACTTAAGTAAATAAAAAAGGGAGAAAAGGGGGAAAACAGCAGACTTCATTGTTCAAAAAAATTAAAGACAACTAATCTTTTTTTAAAGTTACAAGTGTTATAATTCCTAATCCTGGAGTGCTTAAAACTCTCTTGAAATGCTTACACACTATATATATATATATATATATATATATATATATATATATATATATATATATATATATATATATATATATATATATATATATATATATAAATTGAAATTACAATGTAATTAGACAAAATGCAAAATAGACAATAATATTACAAACCATGCAGATATTTAATGTCTTATTTTACGTGTTGTGTTGCTAATAATACTGCAAATCAACTTCCCCATGGGGGCTATTCAAGTTATATATTTATATAAATTATATACCTTAACTCATCTTACATTAAACAAAAATGGTGTTTAGAATTGGTTTTCTTTTTCTTTTTTCTTTCTTACTTTTTTTTAAGAAAATCACAACTAGTTCAAATTATTTGTTCTTTTTTGCATATTTTTATTTCTTTTTAACTTCAGAAAAGTTAAGAAATCAATCTTAGGTTGGATAACCATAACCATAATTTTCAATCACTGTAAGAAAGGGTCAAAATGGCTAATTCACACTCTAATTTTTTGAATAATAACAAATAACTCTAAATGACAATATTTAATTCGAAATGAGAAGTGTCCTTTTTTTTAAGAATAAAACAAATTTTAACATTTTACTCTAACTTATGCATCACATAGTAAATCAAAAGAAATGATAATACACAAGATCTAATGTATGCATATGCCCTGTAAATATAGTTTTAACTTCACACTACAGGTAGTATTCCTGTGTGCCGAAGGGGAAGCGCCGGTGTTTTGTAGGTTGGGTGTGTGTGTGTTGAAGTTTTAGGTTAACGTGGGTGGTGCACATAACTCACTTCTCACTGAAACACATCACAGGACAGACAAACCTGAGCGGATTTATAAGCAACTTTAGTCTAAGTTTTTTTCTTAGGAAATTTTTGTCAGATCTTCATTTGGGAAAGCAGCCTGTGGTTGCTGTGTGTTGTGTGTCAGGAACATCCATGTTTTCTACAGATCATGTTAAAAATCACAGCATGAAACTGTCCACAAGGTATGTCATTTTATGTTTATATGATTGACTATATGTAAATGTGATGGTGATCTGTTGGTTTTGTAATGTTTAATGAACTTGTGTGTGTGTGTTTTTAAGGTTATTTGTTGTTAATAAACAATAGAAAATATCTGTAAAAATTTACTGTAAAATAATACGGTAAACATATAGTAGATAGCCTACATTAAAATCATTGCTTTATTTTGAGTGACATTTTTATTTAACAATATCAAAATTAACCTACAACGTGCTTTCTGATATATAATCAGAGGCAGGTTTTACAAAGAATGTGCAATGGCTTATAGTCCAAATGTACTACAAAATCACATCATAAACAATAGCAGCAAATAGGTCAACTAAGTATTTACCAAATAAACAAATACAATAATTTTTAAGGGCAAAACAATAATAAAGAAATCATAGTAATGCTTAAAAAAGGGTCACACTTTACAATGAGGCTTCATTAGTTAATGCATTTACTAACAAAAACTGATTATGAACAATACTTGTACAGCATTTATTAATCACAGTTCAACATTAACGTCCAAATTCATGCTTGTTAACATTGCACCATGAGTTGAACAATGAACATTATTTTCATTGATTAACATTAACTAATATGAACAAATATTGCATAATTGTATTGTTCATAGTTAGTAAATGCATTATCTAACATTAATTAATGCAACCTTATTGTAAAGTGGTACTAAAAAAAGTAATAATTAAAAAAATCAATAAATACTTGTAAAAGTCATTTCTAAATGTTACCATATTTTTGTTGTTGTTGTCATACACTGGTGTTTTGAAGTGCTGTTCTAACATCTACGCAACATAACTTTGTGACACTCGTTCATAAGCATGGTTTAAGAGAAAGTCATATGATGCATCAATAATCATCACAAACAACTTTCTCAAACAGAAAAGCAGACTAATATATAGAAGGAGCTACTAAAACCATAACGGTAACTCACAAAGTGATGCATTAAACATTATTGATCAACATCAAATGTATTATAAAACTCTTAATGTGGATAACTCAAGAAAAAAAGTTAAAAGAACAATAAGTAATGTAAACAAAAGAGAAACATAAAATGTTTGTGCCATGCAGGGAAATCTGGAAAAGTGAATTTACGGTTATTTACTGTAATATATTTTCTTACAGTTTAACAGGTTACTTATTTTTACTGTAGCATTTTTACAGTTTTACCGTTGAAATTTTGGACAGTTTTTACAGTGTATAACAGCAGGATTTAGTTATAAAATGAATTAAATATTAAATTTAAGTTTTGAGAAATGTTTGGGAAAATGACATTAAATGACGACAGTTTGTTATTATTACCCCTAGTGTAATTAGAATTAGTAAAAGGAATGTAAACAATGTCAATTATTGATTATGTTACATTCATCATAGACTACAAACGGATCAAACAAATGATTTCTGTTTCAAATAAATGCTGTTGTGAACTTTCTGTTAATCAGACATTGCTTTAAAAATGTAACTTGTGAACGTAATGTTTAAAAAAAAAAAAGAAATTTAAATCAATTTATTGGAGCTTATATATTTATCAGTATAAACTGATTGCTTTTCACCCGTAATTTATTTTTACAATTTTTTAAAAATTAAATTAAATTAAATTAAATTAAATTAAATTAAATTAAATTTAATTTAATTTAATTTAATTTAATTTGATTTTTTTATTTGATTTTATTTTGTTTTATTTATTCACGTGTTTTTGTCAAGGATTCCTAAAAATGTGGCACGGCTTCCACAAGAGTATGATACAGCTGTTTTCAACATTGATGATGATGATGATGATAATAATAATAATAATAATAATAGTAATAATAATAATAATAACTATAACACAAACAACAGCGACAATAATAATAACTATAATAATAATAATAACAATAACAACAACAGCAACAACAATAATAATAACATCAACAATAACATCAATAACAACAATAATAACAACAACAATAGTAAAAATAATAATAACAATGGTAATAATAATAATAATAAAAACAATAACAGTAACAATAATAATAACAATAATAATAATAATTATAACAATAATAATAACAATGATAATAATAATGATAAAAACAACAACAACAACAATAATATAAACAATAACATCATCACCATCAACAACAACAACAATAATAATGATAAAAATGATAATAAAATGTTTCTTTTACATATTAGAAGTTTTTTTGAATTGTCATGTAGTGAACACTAATAAACAATACATAAAGAATATATTAAAATACCAAATAAACGTTCATAATATCACTTTACTATTGACTAAATATATTCAACCTTTTAAAAGCAGCAAAAATTTTCACCAACTGTTAACATGTTTATAAAAGCAAATCTAAAAATATATATTGTCATATAAAGTTATTTCCTTCTTATAAGAATATTATTTAAATAATATTATTTAAAATCAAGAATGCCAAAAACACTTTGAGATTTTAATATTTTGCAGCCAAACAAGAAAAATGTTGTTTCCTTACTTTCATCCATTTAACAAAGCATTAAACCCTTGACCTAAATATTGCACCATGCTTTTAAGTCAAGAAGGAGAAGTTAACCATTCATCTTATTAAATATTTCCTCCTAATGCCTAAGCACTGATAACATTCACTTTTTATTAAACCAGGTTAGAAATGCACACCCGCTATGGATTTTCAACTGAAACCTCCTGACAAACAAGACAGAGGGCTAAGCAAATGTTTCTAGCTGATGTATTTCTGAAACATATCAGCTCATGAATTGAACCGTACCAGGAAACGGATACGTTAAACCTCACGTTGAGCTTTAATTGTTACCCGCTTCATTCTTTTGTTTGAGAGTGACGTCTTGACTAGCGGGTTTGACGTCGTGGAAATGTTATCACTCAATACTTCTGACACTTTTCAAGCCGTTTCTTTGCATCTTATGCCAAGTGAGTTTTCTGTCTGTGTGTTTCAGAGGGATGCGGATCAAACCATTGAATCGATGGAGTTTTTGGATCCGTTTGTTGTTCCTGGTCCTGGTGTTTTGTCCAGGTGAGGTCTGATGCTTGTTTAAGACACACCTGTGATTATATATATGTCGCTCTGCTTAATTTCAGAGATTGTCCTCCTGTTTGCTCACTTATTATGCCACTGCATTACTCTACATGTGAGTTTATGCAACAAAGGTAGACGATGACGTTAAAACATGTGTTTGCACAACTATGCTCAAAAACGTGTGTAAAATGCACTAAAAACATGATTTATGCTGCTTGTTTAAAAATATTTATTTAAGATGAGTTGAAAAACACAATTCAAACAAAACAGTTTTTTTTAGGACAACCTAATTGTTTTATGTTCAGTCCACTTACATTTGTAAATCACGTTAACTTAATCAATTTGTGTTGGGACAACATGAAGGAAGTGTGTGTGACCCAGCATTTGTTACAGTGTGAGCTGAAACATCACCATTTTTGAGATTTTTTAAAACAACTCAATTGTCATAAGGGATTACACAGAGTTTCTGCAGCAAAATTTAAGGTCTTTTTAAGACGATTATGAGTAAAACATCAGACCTATACAGCACAGACTTCCGGTTGCGGGCGTCAATGGAGTAGTTGAGTCTGTCTCGAGATCCCTGTGGACTTATTTTTTCCTTCAATACTCTAATCCTCCACCACTTAATTAATTAATTTATTTCTTAGTGCTTGACTGTGAACATGGTTAACGCTTAAGACTAAAAATGGCATCAAAGTTCAGCAAATATGGGAAAAAAGACCCTCCTAAAGACGATGGAACCGCAGCTCACGTGGCGTTTAACATGGCGGCCTTAACTAGTCTTCTTGAAGAACATAGAGAGGTCCTGTATACTGAGTTTAAAGCCGCTTTGATATCTTTGGAAACAAAACTGAACTGAGTTCAAACAGCGGTGCTGGATAAAAGTTTGCAAATTACAATCGAATGCCGACCTTCTCATTGAGAGAATTCTCTCGCTAAAAGCGGCCTGTTCTGAGCTAACCGAGACCTATACAGCACAAAATGCTGAGGATTTTTCTAATGGCTAGTGAAAAGATTTTGACTTGCCCCATAAAAAAAATCTAGTTACCTATACAGTACATCCAAATTATTAGCTGGGTTTTTGGCCAGATTGGGTAGCTTTAAATGGAAATTTCAATTCCAGGATTGGCCAGTCCAATCACCAGACTTGAACATTATTGAGCATGTCTGGGGTAAGATGAAGGAGGAGGCATTGAAGATGAATCCAAAGAATTTTGATAAACTCTGGGAGTCCTGCAATAACACTTTCTTTCCCATTCCAGAAGACTACATTAATAAGTTTTTTAGTCATTCCAAAGATGTATGGATGCAGTCCTCTAAACTCATGGGAGTCATACATAATATTCATTCTTTTCCTTAAACTTTTGTCAAAGCAAAGTCTGACCTTACTGTCCTAATTAAATAATTAAAAATCAAGGCATGTTCATATTTTATTTTCGTAAAATAAGCATGATCTAGAGGCCTTTGCCTTTCATATAAGCCACTTCTGATACCAAATGATCAACTAGACGTCAAGTTATCTATCTATCTATCTATCTATCTATCTATCTATCTATCTATCTATCTATCTATCTATCTATCTATCTATCTATCTATCTATCTATCTATCTATCTATCTATCTATCTATCTATCTATCTATCTATCTATCTATCTATCTATCTATCTATCTATCTATCTATCTATCTATCTAACATAAGCATGTTTGTGCCAGTATATAGAGGAACATCTCAGATCATGTTGTTCCCTGTTTCAGTCATGGGAGTGTATCTGAGTCACTTAAAAATGGGCTGTGATCACCTTGAAACACAATAGACTAACTGAACCAAACGATCAAACAAAAGCTCAGTCAACCTGCTGGACATGTTTTTGACTGCGACAAAACAAAAAGCCATTTTCTGTTCATGCTTGTGAATCAGCTAAACAGGCAGACAAGAGAAAAGTGATAAAGGGTTGCCCTTCAGTACAAAAACACAGACAGTGAAAAAAGGCTAATGTTTCAGAGCTTTTATTTAGTCTTTTGACAGAATAAAATGAATCAACAATGGATATATGTGTGATCTATATATTGGTACCCTCATTGCACATTTAAAAATTATGTGTATTTATTTAAGTGCTGATTTTTCCCCATAGTAATTAATACAATTATTAAAGCAGAAATGACATGACAATTTTAAATATTAGTTATATATAACAAATCTCAATTCCAACTTTTATACCAAAAGTAAAGTAAGTTACTCCAAGTAATAATATCCCAAAATAATGTCAAATTAACTTCTGGCATGTTTCACACACTGATTAGCAGCATGTTGTATGTTACTAGCTTGTTTCAACATGTTGCTAGCACTTTGTTAACATGTTTTTAACTTGTTGTTTGGATGTCTGACTTGTTCAATGTATAATTCTAGTATTTTACCATGTTAATATATTGCTAGCATATTTTGCTAGCAATATAATGCTTCTAACACATTGTTAAATTTTCCATCTTGGCTAAAGTAACACATTTAGCATAATTCTGGCAAGTTCCTAGCATATTTTAACATGTTAGTATGTTACATGTTGCTAGCTATTCTAGCATTTTAAAATTTTGTTAGCTTATCAGTAATTACATAGCTTGTTTCAGTATGCTGCTAGCACATTTAAACATGTACAAATTTGTTAGTATGTTTAAGCATGTTGCTGACTTGTTGAAAATTTTTCTAGAATTTTACGTTGTTAATATGTTGTTAGAATGTTGCATGCTTATCATGCTTTAGCATTTTTTAACACATTGTTCAAATTTTGGTGTTAGGAAGTAAAATGCTAAAGTAGCATGTTTAACAACGCTAGCGTTTTAGTTTGTTTTAACACATTGTTTTACTTGTTTTTGTTACTTGCATGATTGTTTTAGCATGTTGCTAGCACGTTGTTAACATGTTTTAACATGTTATTAGGATGTTACTGACTTGTTCAACATACATATATCTAGTATTTTAACTAATAATATTTTGCTAGTTTAATATGCTTTTAGCATGTGTTAACACATTGTTAAAATTTCTCCCTGCTGAAAGAAAACATCTTAAACCAGCCTAGGCTGGTTGGCTGGTTTTGGCTGGTCAACCAGCCTGGTTTTAAAGGGGTTTTGGCCATTTCCGTGCTGGTTTCCAGCCGTTTTCAGCCTGTTCTTAGCTGGTCAGGCTGGGAAATGATTAGCTGAAACCAGCTTGACCAGCAGCCAGGCTGGGAGCCCAGCCAAAACCAGCTATGTCCAGCTTAAATCAGCCTGGAAATGGCTGAAACCCCTCAAAAACCAGGCTAGTCAACCAGCTAAAACCAGCCAACCAGTATAGACTTGTTTAAGCTGTTTTTTTCAGCAAGGCTGTCTTACCCATAGTAACATTTTACATAAATCTAGCATTTTAGCAAGCTGATGATAGCATGGTTTCACATGTTAGCATGTTACATATTGCTACATATTGTTACATATTCTAAAAACATTTAGAGTTTTGTTAGCATGTTTTAACATGTATGTTGTATAGATTGTTTCAGCATTTTGCTCGACCATTTTCCACATGTTAGAAGCATGTTTTAGCATGGTTTTCAATGTTGCTGACTTGTTGAACATATTTCTAGTATTTTAGTTTGTAAATATATTGCTAGCATGTAGCTTGCTTATCGTGTTTTAGCATGTTTTAACACATTGTTAACATTTCTGTGTCAGGAAGTTGCTAAAGTAACATGTTCAACATAACGCTAGCATTTTAGCATGTTAATAGCATGTTTTAACACATTGTTTTACTTGTTTATTATTGCTTGCATGATTGCACGATTTCAGTATGTTGCAAGCACGTTGTTAACATGTTTTCAACATGTTGTTAGGATGTCACTGACTTTGAGCATGCTAATACTTTGTAAAATCCCTACCTTGCCTACCTTACCTATTTACATGTTTAACATAATTCTAGGTTTTTAGAATTTTGTTAGCATGTTTTAACATTAGTAACATTTACAGTAAATTTACTTTCCTTAATATTACATTTAGTAATTACATGTTGTATAGTTATTTTCACCATTTTGCTAGCACATTTTTCAACATGTTAGAAGCATGTTTTAACATGGTTTTCAACAACCTAGGCTCATTCTGAAAACACACCGCTTTATACATTACTGGAGAGCACTAAATACGTCCCAGAAGCTATGTTTTTTGCAGTTTTTGTTTTCGTGAATCCACCAGAAGCCGCTGTGTACGCTTTTTCAGATCTCAATTTTCTCTCGCGAGTGCCATTTACACCTGCTGTTCTTGCGTAAATCTACCAGAGGGCGCTTATAACAGCCAAACTGACTGTTAGACTGACTGACCGACTGACTGACCGATCGACTGACCCACCCTCCTCCTACCCTAAACAGAACCAATAGTGTTTTCAAAAGCTCCGAACTGGTAACAGCAGGAAAGTCGTTCATACATAGGTAAGCGGTCAGCTGGTAAGAACGAAAAGGTATGACATCATACAGCTTGGTAGCGTTCGTTTTAAAAACAAAATTTAGCCATATGCTACACAATTTACAACCTCCAGAAGTGTATACAGGGCTACATTTTCAGAATAAGCCTATATTGGTTTTCATGTTGCTCGCATGTTGAACATAATTCTAATATTTTATTTTGTAAATATGTTGCTTGCATGTCGCTTGCTTAAGCATGTTTTAAGACATTGTTACAATTTCTGTGTCAGGAAGTTGCTAAAGGAACATGACATGTTGATAGCATGTTTTAACACATTGTTTTACTTGCATGAAAGTTGTGTTAGCAGTTTTCTAACTGTTCAACATATTGATATTTTACATATTTCTGCAGTTTGACAAAAACTATTATCTTGCAAAATAACCAGTAAAATATTTTGTGCTGTCATCATAGTAAAGGCAAAAAACAAACAAAACAAAAAAACAGTTATTAAAACCATTATGTTTAATATGTGTGGAGAAAACCTCTCTGTTAAACATCGGATATGGAACAAATGTTGCAAATGTTCATGTTATAATGTCAATACAATACACTTGATGGGATTACAGATTTTTTTCTGTATTTGTATTCAGGCATCACAGCACAGACAGGACCTCCAACACCAAAGCAATCGTCTCCTCCGCCAACTTTAACAACAGTGGCTGCATCAATGAACCGCTCATCCGTAGTGTCAGCAGCAACAACACCAACAACACCAACTAAGATGCCATTGACTGAAACCACATCTACACCTCCTAACATGAGCACAACTAATCCTGAAACGACACTCACAACACCACCACAAACTCGAAACACAGGAACATCACCATTCTCATCGTCTGGATACACAACTTCTCCGGAAACAAGCACAATATCCAAACTCACTGGAATCACAACTTCTCATGAAACAACCACAACTTCCAGATTCACAACGTTTACAGAAGCAACCACAATATCCAGTGTCACCAAAAACACAAGTTCTCCTGAAACAACCACAATCTCCACATCCACCGTCAACACAACTTCACCTGGAACATCCACAGTCTCCATGTTCACTGAAAACACAACTTTTCCAGAAACAACCACTAACGCCACAACATTAACAGCAACAGTAAGTACTATAATTTTTACCACAAAAACTTAATGTTGTATGTTATCAGTCACTAAATTAATAATAATATCATCTTCAGCCCAACATTTCATCCACTGTCTATACAACTACTAACTTCACAGAATTTACTGCAACAGTAAGTACACTTAACACACTATTATTAATACAAAAGCTTAATACTACTGTTAATATCAGTCGCCATATTAATGATAACATTCATCTTCAGCCTAACATGTCGTCCACTGTCTACACAACTACTAACGTCACAGCATTTACAGCAACAGTAAGTCCACTAAATGCACTGTTATTAATACAAATGTTTGATGCTAGTATGTTATCAGTCACCATATTAGTAATAATAATATCATCTTCAGCCCAACATTTCATCCACTGTCTATACAACCACTAACGTCACAGCATTTACAGCAACAGTAAGTCCACTAAATGCACTGTTATTAATATAAAAGCTTAATGCTGCACTATGTTGTCAGTCACCATATTAATAACGATAACATTTTCAGACAAACATTTCGTCCACTGTCTATACAACTGATGCAACGACTGCTAACCAAACATCAAACACACCTGGTAAGAAATACTGCCTGAAGAAATGCATATGACAGTTTGACATACTTCATCGAATATTCCAGCAATCTCACAAGGAAACGTAACTATATGACATATTGTAAGAAAAGTGGATAATTTGTATGGATTTGTATGATTTCATGCCTATAACGTACAATTTTTAAACAGAGGCATGTCCTCAAACCCCATCCCTAAACATACCTGTCAACATTGGGATGTGAAAATAAGGGATATGCCCACCATGATAAGGGACCCCCTTACATTAAATAAGAGGTGTCATTTTAAAAATGCACACATCTAACGTTTTAATGAAAGCATTCGACTGCTTTCATTACTTTTTTTGCTCATTTAAGACGAAATTAGCTGTGTTTGAAAAAAAAACCTACCAAGATCGACATCCTTATATGTTATTATTATTAATTATGTGTGTATGTCTGTTTGAACACGCACCCAAAACCCAGACTTTCTCTCCGCTTCAAAAAGCAAACAGCCTCTGTTTATCACTATGGAGGGCGTCAGCTGACAGTCATGCACCATTATATGACTGTTTTGAGGATTGTATAGGATAGGCGACAGCACCTGTAATCAAAAGGAAATGGAATCGCGCCATTTTTAATATTTATTTATAAGTGTTTTCATTCCTAAACAAAGCGAAAGCACAGAAAACTCACGTTTTAGAGTAAGGGGAGACCCCTGGTGTTTCGGCGGTATGGGTTGGGTATAGAGAGGCTCAGTTGTTTAGAGAAAGACTGAAAATGCCTTTACGAGATGATAGCGGGATAGAAAAGTAAAATAAGGGAGAATCCCGGGAAAAACAAGAGGGTTGACAGGTATGCCCTAAACCAAACTGGGGAATGAGCAAATTGTACTTAAAGGGAGCCTGTTATGCACCGCTTTACAACATGAAAAAAATAAGTCTGATGTCCCTGGAGTGTTTAGGTGAAGTTTAAACTCAAAATACCACACAAATAATGTTTTATAACTTATTGAAACTGCCTCTTTTAGGCATTGATCCAAATTGTGCCGTTTTGGTGACTGTCGCTTTAAATTCAAATGAGATTGGGCTCTTTTCTAAGGAGGGCGGAGCTACAAAACACCTATGTGTCACTGTAGCGGAAGATTCAAAATGCTAATGGAGGGTGGCTGCTTCTCACTCAGGGCAGTTTATGCTAATGACGAAGAGATTGCCTTTTTTGGGAGGGGCAGTATTTTGCAAAAAGAAAGCCCGTCCCGTCAATGGTCTAGTGGTTAGTGCGTCAACACATGCACTCTGGTGATATGAGTTTGATTCCCACCTCGAGGTCCCATGCCAATCCATCCCCTCTCTCTGATCTCCACGCTTTCCTGTCAACACTCTCTGTCCTATCAATTAAAAAGTGAAACTCCAGAAAAAATGATTGTTAAAAAAAGAAAGTCCCGCCCCCTACTCAATATTCAATTTCAGTTGGAAGTACTTCATTGTGGGGCTGCACGAAAGCGCTGTGGATAGCACAATCGCCTCGGTTCGAGCCTCAGCTGGGTCAGTTGGTGTTTCTTTGTTTGCATGTTATTTCTTCGTTTGCGTGGATTTTCTCCGGGTGCTCTGGTTTTCCTCACAGTCCAAAGACATGTGGTATAGGTGAATTGGCTTAGCTAAATTGTCCATAGTGTGAATGATGGATGTTTACCAGTGATGGGTTGCAGCTGGAAGGGTAGCCGCTGCGTAAAAAAAAACAAAAAAACAAAAAAAACGAATGAATGAATGAATGATACATCAGCATATTGAAATTTCAACAACTTTCAATTCACGCATGCTTTAAATGTTTGAATGAGATCGTACAAATTCATACAAATTAGCCACTAAAAGAAAAAGTCAAATATTCACTGATTTTTTCTCTAGTTACAGCACCCAAACCTTGTGACTTTTCTCAAAGCTGCTTGAAAGGTAATTATCGCAACTTTTGCAGACTTAATGGCTTTTTTTCTTAAATAAAAGCAATCTAATGTGTATTAACTGAGTCTTTTGGGATTTTTAGCATTTTACTGGATGACCACATCTGTTACCGTGACAGGAATATCTCAATTAAATATCAGCAGTCAGGTGAGTTTAGAAATGAAACTCACTTAGAAAAAGTGACATTAACAATCTTATTTTATTCATTTATTTAAATTTTATGGCATTAATTTAGCTTTATTGTTGTTTTATTTTAATTAAATTATTGTTTATTTGACATTATTTTCTGTATCCTTTATATGTACATTTTATAACATTTTTTTTTACAAATTTAGCAGGTTGCTAGCATGTCTTGGCACATTGTTAACATCATAGTATATGTTGTTTATATTCCAGTGTTAGTATGTTTTATCAAATTGTCAGGATGTTACTAGCCTGTTCAACATATTGCTAGCATTTTAGCATGTTGCTACTGTAGTATGTTTCAATATGTTGCTTGCATGTTTCTTGTTTAAAAGTGTTGCTAAAATTTTAAACATAAACACATTGTACCGTTTCAAACAGTATTTCAACATAAAACTTATGTACAAAAACACAGACAGTGAAAAAAAGCTAATGTTTCAGAGCTTTTATGTATTCTTTTGACATGGATCAAAATGGATCTATATATAGGTACCCTTATTGCACATTTAAAAATTATGTGTATTTATGTGAGTGCTGACTTAAAACTTTAAAGTGTTGGCTAGCACATTTTAACACATTAAACTGTTTTAAACAGTATTTCAACATAAAATGTAACTTTATTTACTGTTATAATGATGTGATTTTAATTAGAAGAGCTAATATTTGAAGGATATATGCTGTTATATTGGTAGTATTTTAGCATGTTGCTAGCATGTTTCAACATGATGCTAGTATGTTGCACGTTTCCTGTTTTAAAGTCTTGCTTGCAGGTTTTAAAAAGTATTGCAACATATTAATAAAGTTTATTTTATTTTAATATTATGTATAAACATAAAGGAAATAAGCTGAAATATAGGTTAATATTTAAAGGATATAAAACGTATGACAAACTTTACGAATTTCTGTCAATTTTCAATGTGTTTCAATTTCTTCAATGTGTTTTTCAGGTTGAGAATTTTTTCAAAACGAAGCTAGACACATGTGCAGTTTCCACACCTGAGAGTGTTTCTGCGAAATCTAGTAGCTTAATCTCAAATAATACAAGGTACAGTACACTACATTAGTTTTTTTATCATGGATTAATAGAGATGTAAACATTCTCTCAAACATTATATTTATACAATACGTAATTTGTTTGCTCTCTTCAACTGTATGCATCAATGACTTTCAGTGGCAGATGTTAAATGCGTTAACTTTTTTTTTTTTTTTACCTTGCATTCTATCTGTTCAGCAGTCCAGTAACAACATATCCTGGCCTGTTTGAAGTAAGTGCAGAATCAGTTATTTGCATTTGCATTACTTAGTATTTCATCATAAATCATATAATAAACATCAACTAAATGTGCTTTTATTTTTCCTCATCAGGCCTTGGAGATCACATGTGATTCAAACATTATGAAGTCAGTATCGACTGCTACTCTTATCCAGCTCAAACATACATAAGCAATAGATGAAATTGGTGTACTGCTAAAAGGTTTGCTCAAATAGTGTTTTTTTTTTTTTTTAAGTAATTCACAATGCTACGTTCTTCTGAAGCTGGCAGCACCTGCCAATGTTTGCTGCATTAGAGACACTGTGATGATGATGAACTCGGCTGACATCGAAATCAGTGTGGAGGGACAAATAGAAAGAGTGGGTTAGTGAAATACTACTAAAATTGTCTTTCGGTTGTCATAATAATAATAATAATAATTTATAATGATAATTAATTAATGAGTTTTATGAATAAATCATTAACAAAGTTGTAATGAATGTTAGAAAAATAAATATATTTAGGCTACTTTGTACATTAATGGTAATACATTGTACTAGTTTAATATCACTCTTGCTAGAATATGTGACAATATGTGATCTGTTGTTGGTGTTTCAGGTGTGTGTGCAGATGATTTAACTCAGATCTTCGCTGGACAATATGATAAATGTGATCAGACTCTCAATATTGATGTATGCAGCACACAACCACAGAACATCTCATGGTAGGTTTAGACTAAAAACATGAAGTATCATGTTTAAAATAAAGTACAGAGTACATCACTTTAATATGTTTAAATAAAACTATCATTGTGTGAATTTCTTGTTTTTCTATCATAGTGGAAACAGTACAAATGTGATTTTCCCAGTTGGTGTTAAGGAGAACTGCACTGTTATTCCAGGTAAGGCTTCTTTTAGCATTAGCTGTGCTTGTCACGTTTGTCATTCATCATACTTGGAGATAAAGCTTTAGACACAACTTCAACAAATTCCCTTTGATTGTGAATAGGGACACATTTTGACAAATCTCAGAGTAAAGGACTTTATAAAACAAGTGAATTAACACATTTAAAGAAGCAGACACTTTTGCAACCATCTAGCAACACTACACCAGCAATCAACTAGGAAACACCCTAACAACCACCTATAACACCCTATCGTGTTTCCTGCCTGCCCAGCAAGCACAGGTCATCAACATGACGTCAGATTGACGGTGTACCTCAATGTCGTGGGGATATTGCATTTGGGTGGAAATGAAAATCGGGTTGACATCAGAACCCAGTGTCCAATGTCAGACAGACGTTCGATTTTGCTCAATTCCCCATGTAACTTAAAAACAACCAAATATCAACCTCTAATGATGTGACAGGTTGAAGTTGTGTGGACGATACCACTATGACGTCTATCAGATGTTGGATTTTGATTGCCATACCTGACGAGTAAATGTCAGTATTTGAAGACAATATTGGGTTAAGACGTTGGATTTTGGTCACTTTCTAACACAACCTAAAACCAACCAAATATCAATGTCATTTGACGTTATTATTGGACATCAAAATAACGTTGTCCTTAGAAGGTGGCTTGACATTGAATTTTGATCACCCAACATCACAACCTAAATCTAACCTAATATTAGCGTCTTATAACAATGTGTGCCGAGCGGCATAGTGGCACAGTGGGTAGAAGTTTGCTGGTTCGAGCCTCGGCTGGGTCAGTTGTCATTTCACTGTGGAGTTTGCATGTTCTCCCCGTGTTTGTATAGGTTTCCTCCGGGTGCTCCGGTTTCCCCCACAGTCCAAAGACATGCAGCATAGGTGAATTGGGTAAACTAAATTGTCTGTAGTTTATGAATGTGAATATGAGTGTATGGGTGTTTCATATGGAGTCTAGGTATGTATTGAACAAAAAATAATAAATAAATGCAAATCTCCAAAAATCGCAAAGCGAAAATACATTTTTGAGAAATAAAAATGAAATTTTGCAAGCAAAAAAGAACTGCAATTAAAAAAAAAAAAATGGAATAAATTTTTTTAGCATTGCGTTTACAAAACCAAACAATACAAGGGAACGTGGGCATTTACAGTGGGCTCAGACCTACTAGGCTGTAAGACCACCTCGGTAATACTGTGTCTCTAGGTGAAGACGTGGCTTAAATAAAGCCAAAAAGAAAATGAATAAACGTTGTGTGCCTGCTGGGTGGAAACATCCTGTAGTACACAGGTGTCAAACTCAGTTCCAAAAGCGCCGCAGCTCTGCACAGTTTAGTTCCAACCCTAATTAAACACACCTGATCAAACTAATTGAGTCCTTCAGGCTTGTTTGAAACCTACAGGTAAGTGTGTTGGAGCAGGGTTGGAACTAAACTGTGCAGGGCTTCGGCCCTCCAGGAATTGTGTTTGACACCCCTGCTATAGTAACTATCCATGATGACACCGTAGAAATTGCTAATTTCTAAATTTTGCTATGTAAATATAACTCACTTTTTCTTAAAAAATGTACATCCGATTAAAAAAAAGGCTCATGAGAAATGTAGCAAACATTAAAGACCTTTAATTTATGCTCTTGAAAAACTATATGTTTATGACGGGTGTGCCGTTTATTATGTCTTCTGTTGTTTTCCCTTAAAGCAACACCAGGGTGTAACTGTTCTTCACACTGCAGTAATTCAGGTAAGACAAGCGCATCGTGGATGGAATCTGCTGTTAAAGCACAAAATAATATCTTTAAATGCGTTTGATTTTTGCATTATATTTACTCTTCTTCCTCTCTTTTAGATTTCTACTATTACAGTTTTAGCCTTGGTCATTCAACTTCTTCAGAAAACACTGGATGCCAATCTGTAAGTGTCATGTCTCACTGCAGACAGATCATTCAGTGCTTTTTTAAAGGTACAGGATAGAGATAAAGAATTGCATTGTGCTTTTTTCTACAGGTTTCTCAATTGTTCAGTAATTCAACGTGCAGCGGCGCGTCGTAAGTTGTACCCTTTTTGTTGTGTTAGTTCACTGAAAGCAATCTAAACATGCATTTTCCCATTGTGTGCATTTTACAATGATTTTATTTCTATACATTCTGTATATTCTTTCTTATAAAAATATTGTCATTGTAAAAGTATTTTTTTTCCTCTTGACAACATCAACATTCCATAATGTAATTCAAAAGCATAAATCATGAGCTACTGTTGATTAAAAGATACGTCTGCGTTTTTTAAAACTCATCTCTTTTAATTTTGCGTTGTAGATCTGCTTGTTATAGTCTGACAACTTTACGCAATCATTTTCAGGTAAGATATCATGACAGTAAAAGATTTTTTCTCAGTTGGGGTTGATTTCTCTTAACTGTTTCTTAACTGTTTCTGCAGGACTTGAGAGCGGAGAATTCATCTGGACGGTACGTTGAGTTTCAGAGCAGAATTGAAGTCTGCTCTACAGCTGATGGGTTGTTAATATACTGCTTTTTCCATTTCAGTTTGGGCGAATGTCAAGTTATAATTAAACTAGACACAGCGCTGGATCTGTGTGTTATTGGCGTGGCTGTAGAGACCATCATTAAATCTCAGAAGACCTTCACCTTTGATGGAGTTTTGCAAAGAATAGGCAAGTGTTTTCTCCATATACACTGGAGTAGGCCTGCCACAATAATCAATACATTGACTTATCGCACAACACATGGACATGTCCTTAATCATTTTTGGTGATGCCATTTACTGTATATAACCCATACATAAAAACCAATTCTAACCACATTTATGCTGATTGCGCAGCCTCTCTATCTCAATTGGAGGTGTGAGTTTCAGTATGGTTAAAAAAAACACTATAGAATTTACTATAAATTACTGTTGTATATATTCATGTGGGTGCCTGATGACTGAAAATAGATCTGTTACTTTTTTCTAGTTGTTATTATCTTGGACATTTTTGTTACATTTATTTAGGATATCTGTTTTCACATTCTGATTCCAATGCCTGATTATTAAATTTTTAAAATCACTAATATTAAATTAGATATTAATCTAAGAGTTCTTGGGAAGAGTGTTCTTGCATTATGCTGCTATTATAGTGTCAAAATGATCTTAAAATGACAATAGTTTATTTTAATAAATTTGTTTGCTGTATATCATACAACAAAAAATAGATATTGATAGCCTACACTGGAAATCAAAATTAGAGAACAAGAAACAACTGATTTATTGAGAAATAATGCAATGTTCATAGATTAAAATGTGTTTTACACATTCTTATGTGCAAATGTATGGATGTTTCCCAGTACTGGGTTGCAGCTGGAAAAAAGATCTGTTACTTTTTTCTGTTACCAGTTATTATTATTGTTTAGTAGTTTAGGATATCTGTTTTCACATTCTAAATCCAATCCAAATGAGTAGAAATGTGTGTTAAAATTAAACTAATTGAAAAATTTCACATAGCCAATTAAAGAGGTGGCACTGTGGCTCAGTGGTTAGCACTGTCGCCTCACAGCAAGAAGGTTGTTGGTTCGAGTCTCGGCTTGACCAGTATACAAATATTACTTTATAAACATTATTTTGATGAATATAATATAATATAATATAATATAATATAATATAATATAACATAACATAACATAACATAACATAACATAACATAACATAACATAACATAACATAATAAAATATAATAGAATATAATAGAATAGAATAGAATATAATATAACATAACATAACATAACATAACATAACATAACATAACATAATATAATATAATATAATAATATAATATAACATAATATAACATAATATAATAAATATATAATATAATATAATATAATATAATATAATATAATATAATATAATATAATATAATATAATATAATATAATGTAATATAATATAATATAATATATTATAATATAATATAATATAATATAATATAATATAATATAATATAATATAATATAATATAATGTAGGGTCGGCGTGGTGGCGCAGTGGGTAGCACGATCGCCTAACAGCAAGAAGGTCGCTGGTTTGAGCCTCGGCTGTTTCCGTCTGCGTGTTCTCCTCATATTCGCGTGGGTTTCCTCCGAGTGCTTCGGTTTCCCCCACAGTCCAAAGACATGAGCTATAGGTGAATTGCATAAAATTTGGGCGTAGTGTATTAGTGCATGTGTAAATGCAAAGGTGTATGGGTGTTTCCCAGTACTGGGTTGCGATTGGGAGTGCATCCGCTGCTTAAAACAAATTCTGGAATAGTTGGCGGTTCATCCCGCTGTGGTGATCATTCATAAGTCAGAGACTAAAGCCGAAGGAAAATGAATTAATGAGCTCATAAAATGTGTTTAAAGATGCTCTTTTAGTCTGGTTTGAATAACTTGAACAGTTACCTCAAAATGTTGTGAATTGTTGTTGTTTTGTTTTCTAATTTTGATGTCTATTTGAATATATCGAATGACATGCTTATGCTTATTTCCAGCTATCTGCTATGATCCTTCTTTTAACCCGTTGAATCTGTATCCTCGATGGCAGCAATCTCTGAGTACAAACTTCAGCTCTGAACTCTTCTGCACAGACTCAAACCAACAGAATTTGTTTGCAGATTTCTGGTCAGTACAGCTCAGTGCTTTACTTTGAGGTCAGCTTATCATATCTGTCACCATGCAGTCTGTTTTTTATAATTGTTATATCCAGTTTTTATAACCAAAATTCATCCACCCCACAGATATTTAATGATATCTGATATTCAGAAAACTTTCAAATAAATTGATGTGTATTTCTGTCGATTTTTCAATATGTTTGTATTTTCTGTGTTTTCAGTGTTGGGAAATACAGTACACTCATTCCCTTGAATGGCAGCTGTAATTCATCTTTAACCGAATATCAGAACTTCACCACAGCTCCTCCAGTCTTCACAATCACCATTACCACAAACACAAGCTCTTTCAACACTACAGTCACTGCTGTCAATCAAACTGTAACAGGTGCAACGATAGCAGGTAGTTTCAATCAAAGGATTTTCTGGAATACTCTTTTTTTTTACCCAACAAATTCATTTGAATGTGCTAATATTTGGACTTTCATCTTTGAAGTTTTTCTGTTAGATAAGCTCCAATATACACAAATATATTATTGTAAAGCATACTATAGAAAATATTCATTTTAATGTGAGATCTGTGATGGGTGTACTCATTTATGCTGAGCGCTGTATATAAACAATACTACAATATATGACCCAGACATATTCCTAATACATTTTAATCAAATTTTTCCATTTTTAAAGTCAGAAATGAACTGCTTTTAAAAAACTTTCTCCTTTTTTGTCCTATTTCAGTGTCTATAAACTCATCAGGGACATTAGGTGCAGATGGGCTGTTGAGTTTGAGTGGTAATGCCTCGTCTTTAAACGCGGGTCAGGTGGATCAGCTTTTATCCCAGCTGGAATCTCTCCTGGCCGGGCCGACCGTCAGTCTGGCTCTGGCAAACACCTCGGTCAACATCGTCAACAACCTCCTGGATGTCCCTCCAGCCGTAATCACACCTTTCTCAAAGAGGTCAGAAAGTCTCCATACAAATAACTAGAATTGAGTCATATAATGCTGACCTGGACAGTATATTTACAGTTGACGTCAGAATTATTAGCCCTCCTGTATATTTATTTCCCTAATTTCTGTTAAAAAGAAGATTTTTTTTCAACACATTTCTAAACATAATACTTTTAATAACTCATTTCTGATAACTGATTTATTTTATCTTAGCCATGATGACAGTAAATAATATTTGACTTGATATTTTTCAAGACTCTTCTATACAGGTTAAACTTTTAAACCTTTAAAGGGTAATTAGGCAAGTGATTGTATAACAGTGGTTTGTTCTGTAGACAATCAAAAAGAAAATAGCTTAAGGGGGCTAATAATATTGACCTTAAATTGGTTTAGAAACAACTGCTTTCATTTTAGCTGAAATAAAACAAATAAGACTTTCTCCAGACGAAAAAATATTATAGGAAATACTGTGAAAAATTCCTTGCTCTGTTAAACATTATTTGGGAAATATTTGCTAAAGAGTAGAATAGAGCTAATAATTTTGACTTCAACTGTACATAAAGTGTTTCTGGTTAATAGAGCCATTGGGATTGTGGACACTGTGGGTCTGAAACTGGCAGTTTCTGGGCCGAGTCAGACGGTGCTTTCACAGTCGCTGTCTCTGGGTGTGAAGAAAGTGGACGGGGCAAACTTTCAGCAGACGTCCTTCTCCTTAATTGATTCAACTAACCTGCAGGTAATTGCATGGACTCTAGAAAATGGAAATGTAGAATAAAAGAAGAATACAGAGAGACAACATTATTTTTGTATATTTTATATTAAAAAAAAATATATAGAACTTGCTTTTAATAATAATACATTTTATGATTATAATTGTAATGTTAGTTTTTAAACTATGAATGGGTTTCTTTTAATTTTACAGCACTTTTCAAATTTTTTTTACTAAATCTTAACTACAAAAATCGAATGAAAAATAGTGAAATATATGTTGTTATTTTTTTTGTTGAAAACTATTTGCTATTGACAGTTTGCTAAAATAAGTAATATTAAAATAAAAATATAATAAAAAATAATATAATAAATATAATAAAATAATATAAATAAATATATAAGAATCTAACCATTGAAAACAAAAACAAAAATAAAACTTTCAAAAAAAACACATTCAGATATTAAAACATGCCTTCAGACATGCATAAATAAAATAAAATAAAATAAATTTTTTTTTTAATTAAATTAAATTAAAAAGTGAATAGCTACTGCAAATAATTATATTATATTATATTATATTATAATTTATTATATTATATTATATTATATTATATTATATTATATTATATTATATTATATTATATTATATTATATTATATTATATTATATTATATTATATTTAATAAAATAAAATTAAATTAAATTAAAAAGTGAATAGCTACTGCGAAAAATTATATTATATTATATTAATTATATTATATTATATTATATTATATTATATTATATTATATTATATTATATTATATTATATTATATTATATTATATTTATTATATTATATTATGTTATATTATATCATATTATATTATATTATATTATATTTATAATAATAAAAATTATAATAAAACTGTAGACTGTCAACTGTTATTATAATATACTCACTTCATGTTTGTCATCTCAGATTGGAGGCGGCGTCAGTAAGAGGTCTGCAGAATCTGAGCTTCAGGTTCGGTCTATTCCTCTAGGTTCAGTCGTTCTTCCATCATCCCTCACTCAAAACCTCACAGCCGAACAACAGCAGCTCATCTCAAGAGTTCAGTTCAACTTCTTCCAGAAGAACACCTTCTTCCAGGTCTCTTCATCCACATTCAAAGAGCTCAAATAACTAATATCATCTTTAACATTATACGTGATATTAACTTTTCTTCACATATCAGAACAGCGTTTCCTTGAATTGCGTCTAGGTATTGTGATGCTGGACAGAAAGCTTAACCAAACTTATTCTCTATGTTGTATTTCTGTGCAGGATAAAAACCTGGGAGATGGTAAACTGAACAGCGGGATTCTGGGTAGTAGTGTGGGAAACCTGAGCATCTCTGGTCTGCAAAACGAAGTGCTGATAACCCTGAGAAACAATGGGCCTATTCCAGTAAGTACAAATATGGTTAGTGCAACTATGGTGCAATTTACATTTGTTTTAACCACTGATGGCATTTCCTCCAAATTTAAAACTCTAAATTAGCTGTTTTTGTATAGAATAACAAGAATGTGCCATGTTTTTAGATATGTTTGCATTCATTTTCAGTATAATAGGTTTTAACTTCAGCGGAGTAAAGAAATCAGTATTTGGTGGACTTACATTGATTTTCAATCATTATACATTTGTTATGCCAACTGGTTCTGTACAGAAGTCCATATTATATAGTATTATATAATCTAATTAACAAGTTATTTAAAGTTTGTAATACAGTAATAAAAATAAAGTAATAATAAAAATTAAACAAATTGCATTTTACTCAAACCCAAATCTAAAAATTCCAGTAAATATGGAGAAACTGAGAATTTTCAAGTGGTCTCTTACTTTTTTTCAAGTGTGTAGTTATTGTTGTTGATATGAACTGGTCACTCTTTTTTTTTGTTCTCCACAGGCTAACTATTCAGCTTTCTGTGTATTCTGGGACTTTGGCTTAAATGGTATAGTTGTATTTAAGTGTCTCCTTTAGAGATATTCTCCATCGCTATTCTCTCTTGAACCAATTCTTAGCCGAGGGTCATGAAACCATCAACTGAATTTCTGAAATTTTAATGTTTTTATATGTGTTGAATATAGCTGGACAATATTTCGTTATACATAAGTTATTGTTATTGCGATAATAGTATATACTAGTATATGCAATATACCTATTGTAGACGAGTGATATACTACATTTATTTTTTGCAGTTTTTGTTAATTTAAGTTTGATCAGATGGGACCTTGCTATCTTTAACCCACCTTCAAAGTAATTGCTGTTCTGCTATTGACAGGATGACAAATATGAATGCTGAGCTGAAAATAAATAATTAAACTAATAGCAAAATGAGGAAAGATGTAAATGACAACAGCCAATCAGAGACAGAATATTCACTCATTGGATGTACATCACAATATGCGAAAAGAGGACAATCTTAAGTTTTGCTTCATGGCGACTTTAAAAACCAGCCATCTAAATTGCTATCTGTTGTTAAAAACTAAACTCAGTATCGATTCAAAAGACAACATTGATGCATTTTGAAAATGTCAGAATCTGCTGAATCAATATTCATCAACATATATCTAGTCTTCTTTACAGAATAGAACAGAATCAGATGTTTTAATTGCTTTAACTTTTGGTTGTGTGTTTACAGACGGCTCAGGCGGCTGGAACCCTTCTGGGTGTCGTGTGGTCAATGTTAGTGATGAAGAAACAAAGTGTGCTTGCAATCACCTCACCAGCTTCGGCATTCTGCTAGTGAGTTACAGCTAGGGATTCAGTGAATGGCAACATTTGTGCAAAAATGATCAGACATTGGGCTCTATTTTGATGATCCATGCGCAAAACGCAGGGCGCAAAACCAATAAGGGCGTGTTGGAATCCACTTTTGCTAATTTAGGGACGGAAAAATCTGCTTTGCGCCTTGGCACATGGTCTTAAAGGGTTGAGCTTATTCTCTTAATGATTTATAGGTGTGTTTTAAGAATAAACCAATCAGAGTCTCATCTCCCATTCCCTTTAAGTGTCAGTTGCGTCGCGCCATGGTGCATTTGCTATTTACATAACAGACTTTGTAAGTGGAAAAACTAAACACTTCACTAATAAGAAAACAGTTAAACCGAGCATCTAAAGCGTGAAAATGAGAGATGAGCCTCCTCATTATTTACTTTCACTTTCATGTATAAGGAAACGTGTTGTACGCACAGACTTCAATTAGCCTATAAATAATTAATTTCGTTTGTTAAGCGCAAAGATTTGTTTCAAAAACTATTTCTAAATTCAGTTTTAATTTCCAGCAAACAAATAAATGAACAATAATAATGAAGTGTGTTCAAAAAACTGAGTTATATCCAAATACACATGCTGTGCCCCATATGGTCTAAAACAGGGGTGTCAAACTCAATTCCTGGAGGGACGAAACCTTGCACAGTTTAGTTCCAACCCTGCTCCAACACACTTACCTGTAGGTTTCAAACAAGCCTGAAGGACTCAATTAGTTTGATCAGGTGTGTTTAATTAGGGTTGGAACTAAACTGCAGAGCTGCGGCCCTTTTGGAACTGAGTTTGACACCAGTGCTCTAAAACCTGACAGGTGGGCAAATCTAAGCTTGTTTTTAATAAAACTAATATAAATATGCATATAATAAATAATATTGCTAATAATAATAACGTTATACAAAAGCAAATTGTTATTAATAAGCTGAACAAGCCCCCCGATGTGAAGAAGGCATGAAAGTATGGTTTTTATATTTATGTAGGTTAGAAAATAATCTGTTTTGTAATATTTTAATCCTTTATATTTATATCCTATATATATCGTTAATATTTAAATTCTTTTTCAAATGTAAAGATATTTGTATATTGCTGTACATCCTGTCTGTATTAAGCAATATGTAAGCGAGGCGCACAACTAACGCGCTCTGCGCTGGACTTTAGACCAGCTTTGTTCTGGTCTATTGAACAGTTTATTATAGTTTCTTAAAATAGCAATGCGCCAGCATTCCGCCTCAACACGCCTCCTTTTTTAGACTAGAACGCTTATGGGCGCAAATATGCATTTGCTATTTAAACAGCGTGGTTCAAAATGTCAAAACGACTCTTGCGCCAAGCTGAAACTGAGAAACAACTATTGCGTCGCACCTTGCGCCACATTGCGCCGGGTGTATGATAAGGCCCATTATCTTTTGCATATTTCATGACCATTTCAGGAGCCATTTGATGAGTGCCATTAAGTTTTATTCGACTTCTTCCTGCATGTATCGCAACACATACAAAATCACATTACTCATGAATAGTGCTAATAGGTTGATGCATTATTGTGCACCATCTACATTGTATTTTTACCTTACCTAGAAAGGTGAACGAATGGAGTCATTGTTAATTTTACCCATTTCAAAATGCATTTTCTAAAACAACTATTTTATTTCACCTGTTTTTTACATGGCTTTCAGCTCTTTTGTTGAATCACATTATAAGAGCAATGATGTATCAGGTGAGCTTCTGAGCAAGTTTACTACACCAGTAATCCCATATATAAGGAAACTTTTGAACAGTTGAAAGTATTAGCACTGCTGTGAAATTTTCTTTTTTCAAATATATCCCAAATGCTTTTTGATGGAGAGAAGATTTTTTTCAACACATCTTTAACATAATAGTTTTTATATCTATTTTATAACAACTCATTTTTTGTCTCTGGCATATTCTAGTATAGTTGGCTTAACTAGGTTAATTAGAGTGAACTAGGAAAGCTAATTATATACTGTATACATACAGTATATAGAAAGCCAAGCATAATCAGTGGATAATCTGCCGCATAATCATAATTTGCTTTAAATAGAATAAAAGTGGTTGCTATCTTTTATTTTTGCTAGTTTTTGGAGTTTTTTGCAGAGAAGCTGGTGTAATTTTTTTGTCAGTGGGCCTGACATGTTTAATTCTTATAGTTATGTTTAATCTTGGTTGACAGGACATTTCAAAGACTGAAATCCCTCCTTTGGATCTCCTTATTCTGACATACATTACATACATCGGCTGTGGCATATCGGCTATTTTCCTGTCTGTCACCCTGCTCACTTATCTGGCCTTTGGGTAAGAAAAATGCTTTGCAGGTTCAACATTCAATGCCTGAATTTTAGTATATTGTATGATATATTATGTATTATTGTATCATATATGTATGATGTATATTTAAATATACATACAAACATAAGTGTACATTTAATTACATTTTACAGTATTAGCAAACCTACATTTTCAGTTTCAAACTTTATCATCATTAACATCCTGATATCTGAAGCTCAAGAAACATTGCTTATGATGATAAATGTTAAAAGGTTGTTGTGTCACTTTGATTAATTTAATAATACATTTTTTATAATCATTTAAAAGTCTGTTTTCTATTAGATCAATGCATCCTTGCTGAAATGAAGTGATGAAATGACATTTGAATGGTAGTGTATGTATAAAAGACAATATACATTTTTTTAATCTATGCAGCAAACTGCGCAAAGACATCCCATCCAAGATCCTGATTCATCTGTGTTTCGCCTTGCTGCTGTTAAACCTGGTGTTCCTGCTGGATGCCTGGTTGGCTCTGTATCCAGATGCTGTGGGTCTCTGCATCTCCACTGCTTTTTTCCTGCATTATTTCCTCCTGGCGTCCTTTACTTGGATGGCACTAGAGGCCGTTCACATGTACCTGGCCATTGTGCAGGTGTTTAACACTTACATCTCTCGCTTTATGCTGAAGATCGGATTTGCAGGATGGGGTAAGTGTCGTGACTGAGGTGTTGTTTTTGAAGGCTGCTTTGTACAGACTGTGAAGTCTGTTTGAGCTTATTCTGTTTTGTTTCTTTAAAGGCATTCCTCTCATCATAGTCATAATCGTCATAGCTGTTAACAAAGACAACTATGGCCTTGTGGCGTACGGGAGGTATGCAGATGGGGCGACTGACGATTTGTGAGTAATAATTCCTACCATTCTTAACACTTTGTTGAAGAGTTTCTTTTATGTGCAATGATAAACAGTTCTCAACATACACTACCTGACAAAAGTCGCCTATCCAAGTTTTAGGAACACTAAATAATAACTTGACTTCTAGTTGATCATTTGGCATCAGAAGTGGCTTATATGAAAGGCAAATCCCTCTAGGATACGCTTATTTTACCACAATAAAATATGATCATGCCTTGATTTTTAATGATTTAATTTTGCTTAGACAGAAGTCTTGTCACTTAACAGAAATAATATACAGCATAGAATATAAAGTCATGATGCAGTGAAGAAAGAATTAATATTGTGTATGACTTCCATGAGCTTGGAGGACTGCAACCATACATCTTTGCAATGACTCAAATAACCTATTAATAAAGTCATCTGGGATGGGAAAGAAAGCGTTCTTGCAGGACTCCCAGAGTTTATCAAGATTCTTTGGATTCATCTGATGCCTCCTCCTTTATAATACCCCAGACGTGCTCAATAATGTTCATGTCTGGTGACTGGACAAAATAACTTATGATAAGAGTCCAAAATTAGTACACCCAAATTGAGATGTTCAGGAAAAATATTAAATAAAATTTTTTTTAAAGAGCAAAATTCAAGAGAAATTTTTTTTTGAAAATTTTGTTGAAATCTTGTAGTTTTAGTATTCTTCCCAATATTACACATGGATTTAAATGTATTATCTTTCTATTTCTAAAGATGTTTGGTGAATAAAATATTATTTTAATAAATATATCCGTTTAATGAATCTGTTTTATTTAAATGACCAAAATATATGACCTATATTCACTGAGAAACTGCTAAAAATATTAATTTTCAAAATGGGGTGTACTCAGTTATGTTGAACACTGCATGTGGTAACACTTCACATTAAGGTTCCATTAAGTGATGTTAAAGTATTTACTAACTTGGAAAAAAAAAAGAACAATACGTTTAGTAAAGTGTTTATTCATCTTTGTTAGCATAAGTTAATAAGAACAAGCTATTCATCGTTAGATCATGATAACTCACAGTGCATATTTTAATAATGCATGTTGCACTATGATTAAAAATGTTGTGAAGTATTGTTCATGATTAGTAGATACAGTAACTAATGAAATCTTATTGTAAAGTGTGGCCAAATTTATTTTATTGTTCAGAAATATTGCGTTATGCAAAGATGACAGATAATGTCGTCTCTTCAATGTGCAGTTGCTGTCATTCGTCAAATGTACGTTATCAGAGATGGAATACTGATTGATTGTGACCTAGACGCACCAGAGATATTTTGATCATTACAGTATTTGTCATGTCTGGGTATTTTCTCAAGGAGAAATTAATTGCATTTAAGGAATATTTTAGGATTTCCCAGGTCAAGAAACATTTGAAAAACACTAATGTGGATGAAGAGTGTTTGGACTTTATTTTAGTATGTGTACGTAATGTTTACTTATACTAGCAAGGTACTAGGATATTGTAAGGTAACGTAACTACTAATATTAAGGTAATTAGCCACTTGTGGCAATATCGATAACACCGTTAAATACCATTTTTCATGTTATTGTTATTGGTCTGATTTAAATTTGTTCGCTATTGTTAAACCGATAAATTAGGTGTTATTTTCTTTAATTAAACACTTCACATGCTTGCTGCCCCCCCCCCCCCCCCACTTTTTAAAAATTAGGTTTGATTATTGGTATTATGAATTAGTTAATATTCAGTGATTTGGTTGTTTTATTCATGGATTTTTTTTAAATTGGGCAGTAAATAGAATAAGCTGTTCACTATATATGTTTGCCTTTTCATTTGGCAATCATGCTGAAAAGAAAAAGCAAAAATATTTACATATTATCGGCATACATATAATAATTTTATGGTATTCTACATGTCAAGAAATATTTGGAAAACACTAATGTGGATGTTGCCTATTGACCTCCAAATCAAAGAAGTTATCGGTTAACGGTTAACGGTAAAAATACCATATCGATGCAGCACTAATCAAAACTAAATAAAAGGCTTTGAGTGAGATATGTAAGAAACTAGTAGTAACCACAAGACAAGTTTGCAGAAAAAAAAAACCCTGACTAATACCTTGAAATAAAACATCCTGGGTCTCTTTTATAAATGTGGCATATGCACAAATCGGGGTGCATACGCTGTTTTTCCAAGCTAAGGTTGATATCAATAAAACACAAAATTGACTGTCCACATATTCCTGTCAAGTTTAAGTAGACATGTTGAACTTAAATGTTGACTAAATATTTATTAAATATTGACTAATTACTAAATCATCAATAAGCCATGATCAGTAATAAATAAATAAATAAATAAATAAATAAATAAATAAATAAATAAATAAATTCTGGCTTACTTTCGATTTTTAGTAGGTTTCTATGCAAAGATCCCTGAATATTGTCAATAGATATGGTAACCATAGTATAAGTGGAATAACTTACACTATAATGCACACTGACGCATAACAGCCACTTCGTCATCCTGCCAAAGTGGCTGTGGGGTGCATTATTTTCTGATAGTTTAACAGCCCATCAGATCTTCTTAGTAAATATATTAACTAGCATTAATTAATGAAACCTTATTGTGAAGTGCACTGTTAAAAATTATGGGTTTCATTTAATTGATTTAGGTTAGCTCAACATAAAGGAATCACCGTTAAGTTAACTTAGTAGTTGATGTTCAAGTGGATTGAACATAAAACAATTAACTTGTCTCGCCAAATAACTCAAGAATTGTGTTGTTTTAGCATAATTTATACTAGTAGGTTTTGAGTGTGTGACCAAGGAAACATCACCGCAATCTTCCATCTTTTCTCCCTCAGCTGCTGGATTAAAAATGACATGGTCTTCTATTTTGGTGTGGTGGCGTATTACTGTCTGGTCTTCCTGCTGAACCTGGCGATGTTTATCGTGGTGATGATCCAGCTGTGCCGCATCAAGCAGCAGAATCCTCATAACACACAGCAGCGCAGCGGCTGGCAGGAGATGCGCAGTGTGGCTGGACTCACCGTCCTCCTGGGCCTTACCTGGGGCTTCGCTTTCTTCGCTTGGGGTCCCGTCAACCTTGCATTCATGTACCTGTTTGCCATTTTTAACACTCTACAAGGTTAGTTTCAGTTTGCATAAGACCATTTTTGATGAGTAAATTACACACATTATTACACCAAAACATTTTCTGCTGCTTGTTTAAACTACCTATTTAAAACTAATTGAAACAACACAATTCTTAAGTTTTTATGGTACAACTTAATTGTTTCATGGTGATTCCACTTAAATTTGTAAAAACGTTTTAAGTAGATTGAACATAAAATCTTGCATTCATGTACCTGTTTGCCATTTTTAATACTCTACAAGGTTAGTTTCAGTTTGCACAAGACCGTTTTTAATGAGTCTTGATAATATCACACATTTTTTACACCAAAACATTTTTTTTTTGCTGCTTGTTCAGACAACTTTTATAAATGAATTAAAACAGCACAATTCTTAAGTTCTTTTTTTGGGACAACTTAATTGTATTGTCAAAATCAAAATATTAAATTCTTCTCCAATTTTGATAGTAAATATACTAGTAAATCTGGTTTAAATAGTTTATAATTAAAAGTTTTAGCAGACATTAACTTGTTAATACACTTTTTAAAAATATAAAAATATAAAACTTACATTTTAACAGTTAGATATTAAAAAACAAACAAAACAAAAAAACAAAAACAACCAATTTTTGGTTGTGCTAGCCAATGGTAAAAGTAGGTACTAATGGCATAGTAGGCAATTTTGGTTCAACTAACAAAACCTTGTCTATTAGGGTATACCAGATTTTTTCCAGACGTAATGTACCCGTAAACTCTGTCAGCCACATTATAAGAGCTCCCAACTTCTTTCAAAACAAAAGGATAATTTTTTTGGCAGAGATCAACCCATATGAAACAAACTGTTGTTGTCCTCGTGTAAGTCTTAAAAATTCTTCAGAAACTCCAAATATAATTAATATAGGATTTGGTTCAATCAGAATGTCTCATGTATCTGAAAAACTCTGTAATTTGGGACACATATAGTAACATAAGAATGAGACAGGTTGGAATTTAATATAATATCTGATTATTAAAATAATCTATATTAAATTTGAGTACTTGAAAGGGAATGTTTTTTTTTTAAATATGTATTTTAATTTAACTTAAAATATTTACCCTTAGGATTATGTGTCTAACATTAGGATAGGACTTACAATGATACACTTAATACAAATGTAACATTTTTCAGATAATATTTTAATAATTAAATTATTAATATCTGATGTTAATTATTAATTAATTTACTTAGTCATTTATTTAATCGATAAATGGATAAACTGAATTTTATTTGTATTAAATTGTACTGCTTTGGCTTAAGCACAGAAAAACGAAAATGCAAAATTCTAAATGCTTAAAAAAATACTTTAAATACATTTTTTTCCACATGCTATAAGCTTTTTAAAAAATATTTACAATTTATTATTTTTTATTTAATTATTATTATATGAATTATTTTTTAATGATCCCTCAGCATAATTAAAATTTATTTGTAAAAAAAAAAAGTTTTATTTATTTTTTTAATGTTTTTTATGGTTTGTGAAAAATGGCCCATGCTCTTACCATTTTTTATTATATTTTATTATCATATTTTAATAAACTTTTTCAAAAGTTAGCGATACAGAACATCGAAACTAAGCAGCAAACTAAAGTAAAACATAAACACACACAGTATATATATATATATATAAAAAAAATAATAATAAATAAATGAAAAGGGAGGAGATACAGTATAAACCAATGGAGATAAAACTCCTTTGTCAAATCAAACCTGAGATCCACCTGTCCTGAGATCCACCTGAACCTGAGAACTTCTGAGATCCACTGTCTCTTACCATTTTTAATAAGGTTTTGACTATTTTGAATATGAAAATAGCTAATTTTGTATTTAATGTGAAAGAGGTTTTATCATGTTTTGGTTGAGTAAAAATATAAAAATTGATTTAGAAACCTTTAATGACTCCAAATGTTTGAATACTTGAAGATAAAAAGGATGTAAGGATTTTTCAGTTATTGTTTTAGTGCATAGATACTGCATTGCTCATTTGTCAGAACTGAAGGGCTCTTTTGCTGCAGTAGTTATTATCATATAGCACAATCCAGTGTCACAACTCCTTTGTTCGATATCATCAAGTCAGTGTTTATTTTTGGCGTTCGGATGGAATGTTGACACTTGATTGTCCCTGCAGGATTCTTCATCTTTGTGTTCCACTGCGCCATGAAAGAAAACGTCAGACGACAGTGGAGGACATACCTGTGTTGTGGCAAACTGAGACTGGCAGAAAACTCAGGTATGAAGCCTTTGTTAGTTCACGCATGAGTCTGGCTTGCTTTTGTGTGGGATGTTTATCTAATTACCGAATTCTGACGCAACAGAATGGAGTCGCACAGCAACTCAGAAAATAAACAAAGCCTCCAAGAGAAAGATGTCTTCATTGCGTTCGTCAAATTCAAATCATTCAAGCTCATCTTTCCTAAACCGTGACAGTCTGGCATCTGAAGTGCCCTTTGGCATTGGTGAGTATTGAGTGACTGACTAGCTGATATTCAGGGTTGCCAGGTTTTCACCACAAAATAATACTTTAGGCAATCAAAACTATAAACGTAAAGTAAATGCAGAACAAATCCATCAAAAGTCCACCGTAATCTAATGAAATTCTTTTCAAATAAACATTCAAGATACTCCTAAATAAATTGCAATAGATGAACATTCACTTTAGATGATATATACTTTTAAAGGTGGTACGTTTAAGTTTTTGACTTTCCTAAAACTTAAAAAATCCATAATATGTTTGGAAATGTTTAAGAAACATGCTAAGTGAACAGGTTAATCTAAAAACAATGCTAAAGTCAGTTATTCTCCTTCAAAATTGTGCGTTCCGTGTCTTTGTTTTGGTCTCTATAACTTGCCCACTGCCAGTTCACCAAATATGTTTCAGCACCCTGGTCCTTGGTGGATAACACAGCATATTTAATTTCAGTCGTGAAGGTTATTTCACTGAATATGCTACTACCGTTACTACAGCTGAAATGTTAGCACTGAAATATTATACTCTACATAATTTATAATCTACCAATGACAAAAACTGAACAAGGATGATGAAATCGAGTACTCATACTTTTCTGAGGCTCTAGGAGAGTGTGCAACTGTTTCTGTTTCATTGGTAAAATAACAACTTAAAGGTGCAGTATGGTTGAACTAGGCATTGCAGTACAAATTCCAAATAATAGAGAGAGATTTATTTCATTAGCTTATCATAAGTCATTAAATATGATTAGACCATAGCATCTCACTAGTTTTCTTATAAAATCTTATATATTTTTTAGTTTCTTCATGTATTAAAAAGTTCCTATTTTCCAGGCTGACATAGCTAGGAACTATACTCTCACCTTGGCGTAATAATCAAGGAACTTTGCTGTCGTACCATGGCTGCAGTAGGTGCGAAGATATTATGCACCACCTGAAAATAGTCCCCAGCTAGGTAACTACTACAGTAACAGTGCTGCGTAATATTATTGTTTGTACATGGTTATGAACAAATACAAGATTAGAAGTGTGGTTGCCAAGTCCACACTTTCCCAGGTAATTGGTCTACTTTTAACCACTTCCTGTGCATTGTCAGCCTGGAAAATAGGAACTTTTCAATTTGATGGACTACAGAAGAGCGACGCAGTGGTGCAGTAGGTAGTGCTGTCGTCTCACAGCAAGAAGGCCGCTGTTTCGAGTCCCGGCTGGGCCATTTGGCATTTCTGTGTGAAGTTTGCATGTTCTCCCCATATTGGTGTGGATTTCCTCTGGGTGCTCCGGTTTCCACCACAGTCTAAAGACATGCGCTATATACAGTAGGTGAATTGGGTAGGCTAAATTGGCCATAGTGTATGTGTGTCTATGAGTGTGTATGGATGTCTCCGAGTACTAGGTTGCAGCTGGAAGGGCATCTGCTGTGTAAAACATATGTTGGATAAGTTGGCGGTTCATTCCACTGTGGCGACCCCTGATGAATAAAGGGACTAAGACGAAGGAAAATGAATGAATGAACCTACAGAAAGTTCAAGTTTTTAATAGGAAATTTTTCAAAACTCTTTTTTGTTTCTTTTTTTACTTTTTAGAGAGCGAGATGCTAATGGTCTAATCCGATTCAATGATTTATGCTAAGCTAAGATAAAAGTGCTCACGCCAGGCCTGTAGAGGAGCTGAATAGATTCATAAATTATCAAACTCAGCTGTTTAAAACTAAGGCAGTTGCAAAATAATACCATTCCTAAAAAAAGCGGTGTCCCTGTAACGTTTATATCAAGCATTTTGAAACCACATCCTGATCTTAACCAGGGTACATTTGTTCAGTTTTGTCAACTCAAAGCTTACTCTGCAAACCAGAGTTTGTTTTATTTGTCGCGTGCAACAGGTGAAACATTCAATAGTATCTGGATGGATCCTTTATGATGCAAGCTGAGATTGCAAACTCAGCGACGCAATCTCAGACACAATGCACTCAAAGGAGCGAGTGACATCACTGTGACGGGTAGGGTTAAGGGTTGGGGTTAGGTGAGCGCATTAAAAAGCATTGGATGCAGCTCAGTTTGCACTGCACAGGTTTGCATCCAGATCCCTCTCGAAACATTGAGCTCTTTTGAAACTAACCGATCAGTCTATGCAAAAAGCTAAACTTTACATGTCTACTCTCTGTGATGGCAGGAAACCCGATGGATGACAGGATGATAACTGAAGCAGAAGGGCCCAGCTCAAACTCAGATGTGGTTTTAAATGAGCTCAACAGTCAAAATCACAGAGGTCGAAGGTCATACCGATGAAAGCCAGTATGAGTGTATGTGTGTGTGTGTGTGTGTTATGGTCTACTGCATCACTGTATTTCACTTACATTTTAAGTTACATAAAGTATTGCTTGTTGTACTGTATATACAACAGATATACAGTTGAAGAATTATTAGCCCACTTTGAATTTTCTTTTCTTTTTTAAATATTTCTCAAATGATGTTTAACAGAGCAAGGAAATTTTCACAGTATGTCTGATAATATTTTTTCTTCTGGGGAAAGTCTTATTTGGTTTATTTTGGCTAGAATTAAAGCAGTTTTTAATTTTTTAAGCACAATTTTAAGGACAAAATTATTAACCCCTTTAAGCTATTTTCCCTATAGTCTACAGAACAAACCATTGTTATACAATAACTTAATTACCCTAACCTGCCTAGGTAACCTAATTAATCTAGTTAAGCCTTTAAATGTCACTTTAAGCTGTATAGAAGTGTCTTGAAAAATATTTAGTCAAATATTATTTACTGTCATCATGGCAAATATAAAATAAATAATTTATTAGAAATGAGTTATTAAAACTATTATGATTAGAAATGTGTTGAAAAAATCTGCTCTCTGTTAAACAGAAATTGATGAACAAAATAAACAGGGGGCTGATAATTCAGTGGGGCTAATATTTCCGACTTCAACTGTATTTCTTCAAATGATGCACTTTAATCAATGTAGATAAATAATGAAGCTGCCACAGCAATGGACCCTTTTCACAAAACGCATTTGTACAAAGCGTATGTACATTTATATGTGTTTAATCATGTATTATATCATCTTTGCATCAAATTACAAAAAAACAAATTACCTCTTATGCGAGGTGTTTTCAATACAGCATCTATGGGGAAGGGACATTAAATTTGATGTTGTTCCGTCATCAGTCTCACACTATTGTTTTCCTCCTTCTGAAAGTTGCACCATCGTGGAGTTTTTCTTTTATTATTCCAGCAAATATGATTGTAAAAAAATATATTTGTTGTTATATATATATATATATATATATATATATATATATATATATATATATATATATATATATATATATAATATTTATGCTCTAAGTTTACTCTACTATGATGACTTCTGCTACTGAGAAACCCAGAATTGTGAAAAGGGTCCATGCTAAACCTTTTAAACCAACAACAAAAAAGGGTAAACTGCTGGTTTAGGGTCAGTCATATTTCTGTGAGCAGTTAGAATTGGCATTATAGTCGATATTATATTATACTATATATATTGCTATGGTTCATTGTTTTCATTGGTTATTTTTTATTTATTCGATGAAAGTCTGGAACATTCAGGTCATGTATGTTGTAATAAGCATTTTATTTTTGTATTTCCATAGCTTTTCAAAAGAATAAAATGGACAATTATGAGTATAACAAAACACATAGATGTTGAAGTGTGCCTGGATGATGTTATTTTTTTATCCAAACACACTTATGCATTCAGATTCACGCACACACACACACACACACACACACACACACACACACACACACACACACACACACACACACACACACACACACACACAAACACACACACACACACACACACACACACACACTCTGACTCTAAAATAATAAAATGGATTCATTGCAAATATCATTATAAATATTCAGGAATCATAAAGCAGGTCATTTCTATTACTGGCACAATAATATCCACCAACAATGGGTGTTTCTCACTTTTGTATAAAAGCACAAGCTCTGTTCTGATTGGCTGCTGCCAGATTATTAATTAATTAATCCATTCATCATTTTCGTTACGGCTTAGTCCCTTCATTAATCTGGGGTTGCCACAGCGGAATGAATCGCCAACTTATCCAGCATATGTTTTACGCATATTCCAGCTGCAACCCATCTCTGGGAAACACCCACACTCTTGCACACACTCACATATACTACGGCCAATTTAGCTTATTCAATTCACCTGTACCACATGTTTTTGGATTGTGAGGGAACCCGGAGGAAATCCGCACGAACAAGGGGAGAACATGCAAACTCCACACAGAAATTCCAGCTGGTGCTTGAACCGGCGACTTTCTTGCTGTGAGGGGATTGTGCTACCCACTGCGCCACTGTGCTGCCCTAAGATTATTAATGTTTAGATATTTAACTTAAGAAAGCCGGTTGTTCTGGGAAAGACCTAATTTTAGTTTAATCTACAAGCTGTGATGGTGAATGGATATCATGAGAACCATTACAAGAGAGGTAAGAAGGGGTTTATAGTACACAGCTACGAAAAATGAACAGACCACTCGAAAACTTCTCTGGATTTATGATTTATAGATATGCACATGAGTAAAATGTCCTCTTTAGACAACACGATACCAGAACATACTGTTCTAACATCAGAAGAGTTCATTCATTCATTTGCATTCACTTTTCCCGGGCCGGGTCGCGGGGGCAGCAGTCTCAGAAGAGAACCCCAGGCTTCCCTCTCCCTAGACACTTCCTCCAGCTCCTCCAAGGGGATCCTGAGGTGTTCCCAGGCCAGCCGAGAGACATAGTCCATCTATCGTGTCCTAGGTTATCCTCCCGGTGAAACATGCTTGGAACACCTGCTTAGGTAGGCGTCTAGAAGGCATCCGAAACTGATGCCCGAGCCACCTGACTCTCTCGATGTGGAGGAGCAGCGGCTCTACTCCATGTCCTTGGACTTGGAGGTGGTGATTCTCATGACAGCAGCATGACACTGCAACAAACCACCCCAGTGCATGCTGAAAATCCAATACTGGGAAATCTTTGTAGATTGTTAGCATTCCATGTCGTTTAGCCTTGTAATCTTAAAAAATGTGGCTGTATATCGGCACTGGTGGGAGGCTTGTGTTGGCAAGAGGCCACATGCAGAGTGCCTTAAGCAAGTTGCACACCACAAGAGCCGCTCGACGACGTGTCACTTTGCATTTTAGAAATCTAAACATAGGTTTCTATCAGCGTACACACACCGGCGCCGCAAGTTGGCGGCTATCCGCAGACCCCAGCCACGACTCAGGACACTGTTAATATTTCTGCTGCGCCATCTGAATAGTTTCATTTTAAATATTATGCTAATGTGCATGTCTAGTGTGCGATACTTCCGACTGTCATGTGCGCGCCTTGTCGCGGCGCATCTGGTGTGTGACCTGCCTAAGTCTCCCACCATTGATGATGTACAGCCATATTGCACTGCCAGTGCGTAGCAACCGGGGGGGACAGGGGGGACACTTTTAGAGACAGATCATTTAGAAACATGTGATTAATAATAATAAAATGATCATAAAATTTTGGATCTCATTTAGCTGTCCCCCCACTTTTAAAATGTCTGCTACGCCCTGGGCACTGCTACTCATGTGATATTGCGTTTATACAACAGTTTAATGGCATATTCATGTGTATATAAAAAATTAAATAAATAAAACACGGAGAGTCTCAAAAATCATTTTGTATGAGGAACTACTTTCTTTCGACGTTCATTCACATCTGCAGCTGACGTCAAAACAGCAGAAACCGTTACTACACAAACGTCACTTTAGAGTATTCGAATGACTCTCTAGCGTAATGTCTAAAGGTGATTTTGCTCACATTTGCTCACAGAGATTTCCCAGTATTTCTCTTTTGCGATCGGGGAATCACAATAATAATAATTTTATTTATGTAAATCCAAAAATGAACTTGGATGTCATGCATGTAATTAGCATATTTTCCATGAATCTGATTTTTTATGAGTTTTTCTGACCAGTTTCCATTTCTGAAAAAAACTCTCTAACTGACTACATTTTTATTTACTAATTCAAAAGAAATGTTATCAGAGCTTACACAGAATAAAACAAATGTAACCATTTTACTACCTAATCAATATAAACTCAGTAAATCCACAGAATTGTCAAGTGCTCTGTTTTTTTTTTTCTAAAGCTGTACAGTATATCACTGAATTAACTAAACATTTTCCATGTGTTTTGGAAGCGTATGCATCCAGAATATTTAAGAGGCCTCTTTATAGGGGTGTCAACCACACATCCATTTGGATCCTTCCAGCAACATTGTCCACTTCATCAGGTCACTTGTGCTCATTTTGTCTTCAACAGCGCCTCTTCAGGAGTAAATGCACCAGTAGATGATGTTGAAGAGCAGATAGGCCAGTGGAAAGAGAATTCTGGAGTAGGAGTCGATCATGTAGCTGTTGCTCATGATAAAGCGGATGTTTTTGCCGACCGAGCGCTTCCTCCAGAGTCTCGTGCCCTCGGTCGGCGGCGGCTCGGTGGATGAGGCTCTTGCCGGGATGGTGCGCGTGGTGCTCGGCGTGGTGGGCAGTTCGGGGAACGGCGACGCGTCGATGTCGTCGTGAAAACAGCCGTCGTACGCCATCGCCTGAGTCGCGTCGTAGGAAGCTGGAAGCTGTTTTAGGGAACAAGGAGAAAGGAAGCTAGTTAATATACAGTTAAAGTCAGAATTATTAGCCCTCCTGAATATTTTCCTCCAATTTCTGTTTAATGGACAGATTTTTTTTCAAAACAATTCTAAACATAATAGTTTTAATAACTCATCTCTAATAACTGATATATTTTATATTTGTCATGATGACAGTAAATCATATTTGACTAGATATTTTCGAAATTCTATAGGCGAGTCAAAGTTACATAATATAATTAAAAATATATTACTTAAGGGGGCTAATTATTATTACTAGTAGCCTAATATTTCATTTTTTTTCATTAAAAACTGCTTTTTTTCTAGCCATAATAATACAGACAAGACTAATATGAAAAAATATAGAAAATACTGTAAAAATGTTCTTGCTCTGTTAAATTTGTTTAACAATCACAAAAAAAAAAATCACAAGAGGGCTAATAATTTCACTGTAGTGGAGAACAACATTAATTATTCAAAACAACATTAGACAAATGTTAATGCCAATTGCAAGTGAGTGGATTTTAATTGGCTATGTTTTCAAATTTATATGGAGTTTTCTTTAAGCAACTTAAAATAATAATCTTCTTTCTTAACCAAATATCTAAAAAATTTTAAATAAATATGCATGTAAGACATTTTCTAGACATTGAAGTTAAAATAGGCATATTGTTTTGTTTTGAGAAATAATAAATCACAATTTATATGACTATAAATAATGGTAAATGACAGAAATTTACTGTAAATTTTAATTTAGGGAACCCCAGCTGCTGGAAAAAAACGTGAAATAACGGATTTTTCTTTTAACTGATTTTTTTTAGTGTAGCTTAATTATTTGCCAGTGGGGTATGTAAAATAATATTTTCCTTACTCCACTGACTGATTTTTTTGCTTGTTTTAAAAAAATCTGTTAATTTTGACTTATTCCCAAAACAAAATAATATTTTTTACTTCTCTACAAACAGCTTATTTATTTAATAATATTTATATATTTGGACAGGAAACAAAACAACAAAAAATGTTTCAGTGTATTTATATTTTGTATTAATTATTGTTGTAATTATTATTATTATTATTATTATTAGTATATTGGCAGTTATAAAGATTTGTTTTTTGCCTTATACACAGTAAGAACATATATGTATGTATACACACACACACACACACACACACACACACACACACACACACACACATATATATATATATATATATATATATATATATATATATATATATATATATATATATATATATATATATATATATGCATCAATACCATTCTGCAGAAACATTAATTTATAATAATGTGTAATGATGTGTATAATAATGTGTGTGTTTATGCTGTATGATATTGATGCAGTTAGAATTTTAATACTTTCAATAATAATTACCTTAAAAATATCGATTTTAAAATAAATTATATTACATTGTTTTGGTTTTGTTATAAAACCATAATGCATTCTGATATTACATAAAACCATGCATAATATTGTTCAATAACCACTAACTGAAAATGATAAAATAAATGAAAATAATTGTGTTTTAAATACTTTTATTATAGCAGGATTTTGAGCAGAAACCATTTTTATCAATGAAAATGTCAATGTAAATATATCAATATTATGAATTGCTGGTATTGTTGGTGGTGTTGCTGTATTTTGCAAGAAACTTTATGGCAATAACAAAGTTTTTGCTTGTCCAGTAAACTTGTGTTTACTTAAGATGACCACATGAGGGCGACGTTTAACCTAAAATGATATTCAGTCATTCCAGGCCAGCGTGAGTAAATATAACTGATCTCTGACGTGCGCGTGACCCTGACCTTTCCTTTCTGGAGTTTCTTCATCTCCTCCACTGTGGTGAAGTAATTCACTGCAGCGTATTCAATGACCGACAGGAACACGAAGAGGAAACTGGCCCACAGGTAGATGTCGACCGCTTTCACATAGGACACCTGCGGCATGGAGGCCGACACGCCCGTGATGATGGTGGACATGGTCAACACGGTGGTGATTCCTGGAAGAAATGAAGAGGTTTCAGACTGAAACACATGATGACGCGGTGAGAGGAGGTTCAAAAGTTCAAGGAAAGAGTGTTTATATTCATTACATGTCACACAAGAGTCCCTGTGCGGTTTATAGACGTTAAACTGGCTGTGAAAGGAAACGAAAGTGTGAGAAATACATGACATTCAGTTCACATCTTCCTGTTACTCATTCCCAAACTCGGTTTTAGGCAACGTTTTACCCCACAGTACTTCTTGAAGTACCCATGAAATTAAAATCGCTGGTTTTTAATACTTAAAAGGGATGGTTTACCTCAAAATGAAAGTTTACTCACTGCTTACTCACCCTCAAGACGTTTCAAACCTGTTTAAGTTTGCCTGTTCCTTATTAAAAAAGTAAACAAACGTTAGAAACCTGTAGCCATTAACTTCCATACACTAGTAGGAAAAACAAATACACTGTTAAATGCTGGATTACACACAATCGGTTTGTGTTGAGACAACATGAAGTAATTAAGTGGATTGAACATAAAACAATTAAGTTGTCCCCCCCAAAAAACTCAAGAATTGTGTTTCAGCTCAGAGTAAATAAGTTTGTTTAATAAGTAGTTTAAACAAACAGCAAATGTCATTTTTGAGTGTACTATAGAAGAAAATGGTTACAGCATTTTTCAGAATAGAAGAAACTCAAACAAGTGAATGTTGGGTTTTTGGGTGGACCATCCCTTTAATAGTTTTGGTCCTTTGTCTTTCTGACATGTCTTTGGTTGTCTTCAAGTCACTTTCATTGGCACAAGATGTCATTGTACTTTGATGCATTGCAGGAAAATGCACCAAAATTTGTTAACTTATAAAAATAGTACATTCACCCTGACAAAAGTTTTGGGAACACTAAATAATAACTTGACTTCTAGTTGATCATTTGGTATCAGAAGTGGCTTACATGAAAGGCAAAATCCTCTAGATTACGCTTATTTAACCAAAATAAAATATGATCATGCCTTGATTTTTAATGAATAAATTAGGACAGTAAGGTCTGACTTTGCTGAGACAAAAGTCTTGTCACTTAACAGAAATAATGTACAGCATAGAATATGAAGCCATGGTGCAGTGGAAAAATAATGAATATTGTGTTTGACTACCATGAGCTTATTAAAGTCATCTGGAATGGCAAAGAAAGCGTTCTTGCAGGACTCCCAGAGTTCATCAAGATTCTTTGGATTCATCTTCAATCCCTACCCTCCTTCATCTTACACCAGACATGCTCAATAATGTTCATATCTGGTGACTAGGCTGCCCAATCCTTTGGCACCTTGATCTTCTTTGCTTTCAGGAATTTTGATGTGGAGGCTGAAGTATGAGAAGGAGCGCTATCCTGCTGAAGAATTTGCTCTCTGCTGTGCTTTGTAATGTAATGGGCAGCACAAATGTCTTGATACCTCAGGCTTGATACCTCAGGCAGATATCGCACACACCCCCATACTGAATGTAACCTCAAACCATGATTTTTTTCTTCACCAAATTTGACTGATTTCTTTCAGAATCTTGGGTCCATGTTGATTTCAGTAGGTCTTCTGCAGTATTTGTGATGATTGGGATGCAGTTCAAAATATGATTCATTGGAAAAATCTACCTTCTGCCACTTTTCCAAATGATCAACTAGAAGTCAAGTTATTATTTGTTGCTCTTAAAACTGGGATCGACAACAAGACATTTGTCATGTAGTGTATAATCATGAAAGCCTGTAGCAATTTTGTGCCCAATGAAAGAGTGAGGTATATGCTAAAGCAGATCTCAGGGCACCCCTAAGTGCATAAGCCCTTAGATTAATTTGAAAGTCCCTCTGCGTAGTGTTGCCCTTATATATAATTCTCTACTATAGACACCCTTCCAACTTGGAAACTTTGAGGTTAAGACAATTTCTAGTTTCCTAATCGTTATAATGACATTGTGGCGGTGTTTCTGTGCATTCAACTTGTAAATAGGATCTGACTTGACTTGAATGAACAAAATATGTAAGCTTGTGTGCTTTAAAACATTAATAAATCATAAGCATTCAAAATTTGCGGTGTGTCACTTAAGGCAATGTGTATCACTTTTTTATGACATCGCTCTGCACTTTAGCCTCTCATCGGATATTCTGACCAATCAAATGCTCACTAGTATCTGAAATGTCCCGCCCCCTATACAAGACTCTGCTGAAATGGGATAAGTTGTTATAAGATCTAAAACCCCAAAAATATTTGACCTAAATATTAGCATATGAAAATAATAAGCGGTCATCAAAACACTGCTGATCTGAATTCCTCTGCGGTTATTAGTTATAACAATGAGGCGAGAAATCCCAAAAAACACTCCTCTCTTTACCGGAAGCCCAGGGGGTGAAATTCTTTGCACATGTCAACACACAGGCAATAGGATTCCCACAATTTAAAGTTTACTCTCCCTTTACTTGTAACATGCCTGTTTGAGTGTCTTTCTTCTGTTAAACACAGAATTATTTTGAGATGTTTTGGAAACCTGTAACTATTGACTTCTATAGTATTTGTTTTCCCTACTATGGATGTCAATGTCTTTGGAGCCAGCACCTAAGCTTTTCACTCATCATAGCACACGTGCTGCTGATGATGTGACAACAAAAGTGATTTGATTTGATTTGATGAAAGGGAAACCATATCAGAGTCGCATTATTCTTTAAGTGACTGCGCGCAATATTCCTGCTGCCGCCTGTTTTTATTATTAATCAAACAACAAAAGGAGAAAATCCCTCACTGCTCTTGACTGAAGGACTTTTGTAGCTAAAGTTTTTTTTCTTACAACGACGATGCTTAAAGCGCAGTTTAAACATAATAGATTTAATAACTCAATTCTAATAACAGTATTTTTAATCTTTGCTATGATGACAGTACGTTACATTTTACTAGATATTTTTCAAGATACTAGTATTCAGCTTAAAGTGACATTCAAAGGCTTAATTAGTGTAATTAGGCAAGTCATTGTATAACAGTAGATTCTTCAGCAGACAATTAAAAATAAAAATTTTGCTTAAAGGGGCTAATAATATTGAGCTGTTAAAATTGGTTTCAAAATATTTAAACCTGCTTTTATTCTAGCCGAAATAAAACAAACAAGCCTTTCTCCAGAAGAAAAAATATTATAGGAAATACTGTGAAAAATTCCTCTGTTACACATAATTTGGGAAATATTTATATAAAAAAAATTCACAGAAGGGCGAATAATTTTGACTTCAACTGATAATCATTTTGAATAATCGGGATTACAATTATGACCAAAAATAATCGTGATTATGATTTTTCCCGTAATCCAGCAGCCGTACTGTGTTGTTAATGTAAAGTAAAAACACCGATCCTACAAAAAAAAAAAAAAAAAAAAAATTGAAAGGCTGATGGCTCTTCATTTTCATGTTGTTTGTTTTTTTTACTGTTGTTAACTACTATTTTTATTTTCTGTCTGTTACGGTTAAAATATGGTAAATCTAATAGTTTAAAATAAATAAAATTTATAAAATAGTTAAATAAAATTTATTTAACTTTTCTTTTAAATTTATTAAATCAACTTTATATCACCTTACTACAACCAAAGTTGACCAAAGTGCTTGACAACAGTAAATCAAATTACATAACAAAAACCTGAAAACAAACATTCAATTAGCCAGGGGTTCCCAACTGGTTTAGCCATGGAACCCACATTTTTACATGGTCATCAAGCCGCGACCCAAATTTTTAAGAACTATAATACAATTTTAGGAATTGTAATTAATTTGTATTTATTTGTTAACAAGTGACAGATGAATCATAAGTAAATCACCAAGACTTACAAATAAACAATATTTTATAGCTGTTATTTCACAAAATGTATCAAATTATAGAAATATTACAAAGTAAAATTGACAAATACTGTAAAAAGTGGTTGGGGTAAAGAAAGGTTCAGTTACCATGAACTAAACTGAACTGTTAATAAAACATGTTGTCTGGTTTCTAAATGTCATTTTAATGTAGAAGGTTTCGTGCTCTCTTGTGAGAGCACCTCGCTACTTATGACACACTGAGGCTTTAAGTCTTTTTTGTCGTCAATATATATAAATCCATACTTTATTCCGGGTCGTACTTGCGCTTCGACATATTTGTTGCTATAATTAAATGAAATTTTACATGTCAAACGGTAGTATTGGTGGTGCATACATTTCAAAATAAAAGTCTAAATGAGTAAAAAATTTAACTTTAGTTGTTTTTTTGACCACACACTCTGCGACCCACTGAAAATGTTCCCGCGACCCAGACCCACCAGTTGAGAAACACTGCAATAAGCATTACAAGAATGACAATAAAACAAACACCCCAACTTTTTTGCTACTATGCATTTGAATAAGTGGGTCTTAAGCATGACTTTAAAAATCGTTGGACTCAGCATCATTTCTTACTGTTGTTATCTAAGGCAGCTTTATGGATCCCTTTCACAAGACTCTTGATGTTTAACTGATGTGTTTAATAGTCATCAACATCTTAAGTCCTTGAACGTTTTTAATATTTTGATTTAAAAGAAAAACTCATGTAGATTTAGGGTGGCATAGTGGCTCAGTGGTTAGCACTGTCTCCTCACAGCAAGAAGGTCGCTGGTTGGAGGTCCGGCTGGGTCAGTTGGCATTTCGGTGTGGAGTTTGCATGTTCTTCCTATGTTGGCGTGGGTTTCCTCCAGATGCTCCGGTTTCCCCCACAGTTTAAAGACATGCGCTATAGGTGAATTGGATACTCTAAGGGAAGTTTATCTATAAACTAATTTTGAGAGGATCAGAAGCTTATGATTGACCACTGCCGGTCCTGCATTAGTTAATCATGATATGCATCACACATAACAGACTAAGCCAAGCACTTTGTCTAGCTCTTAGCACCAGTATCTTTTCTTCTCAAAGTAGTTTAACTTAGCCATTTCGGCCGGGGAGTTTTTGAGATTCACCTAAGCTCAATCTACCCTCTCGCTCTGCGAACAGGAGGGAGCCCTGGGCTTGAGGATCCCTTGAGCTCAGCGCTCTCTTCCTGAGACAGCATGCCAAACAAGCTTATGATAAATCATCAGCTAAGTGTGAACTCTTGAAATTAGCCATAATTCAAGTGTCTGAATGAGTGTGTATGGGTGTTTCCCAGTACTGGGTTATGGCTGGATAGGCATCCACTGCGTAAAACATATGCTGGACTTAGGGTTGTAACAATATACCGGTATGACGGTTTACCACGATTTGAACGTGCACGATTATCATACCATGAACAATTGCATATCAACGGTTTTAACCTTTAAAGACCGAAACAGCCGCCCGCGGCTTAAAATAATTATTGCTCTTAAATGTTTAATAACTTTTGATCCGCTGATCCGATTCATACAATTCAAAGATTGGCATAAAGAAGAGAATCTCAGCTTTCCAGTGCTGTATCACATAACATTCGCGGACTTTCAGAGGCTCCGGAATCAGTGCGGTTACGTCATCAACATTTGACAACGCTGATTTGACAAAGAAACGCTCGTCACTGTGTCTCCGGACAAATCAGACATGATACATTGATGCATTGTCCCTCCTCCATGCCCAGATTGGTTCAAACTCGCTATATCACAACCAATAAGCATAGGTTTTGCTTTTGTTTGTGGACCAAGCTTTTTGAACAACACGGAATGAGAGATAGGCATACATTTATGCGCGGCTAAATAAAACGCAAAAAAAAAAAGTTTTGCATGAAATATTTCTCATACTAAGTACTTTTGCATGCACAGCAGCACAGAAACATGACAAAACAGTGACACAGCAAAGACGAACTGCTGCTCTTGCTGTTTTCAAAAGACGCAAATGAAGGTGCAGCTGTTTGTCTGCATTGCAAACAACCATATCAAAATCCATATCCACAGACAACCATATCCATGCTGGCACATAAAACCTAAGGATGTTCCATATTGAATCTAGTTTCGTTATGTAACTATTTATAGTATAGTAAATATTTATATCTATTTTTTTACTGAGGATTTGCACCATGTTTATTTGGACTTTATTTGGACTTTGACACATTATTTATTATTTTCTTATTTTTATTTGTTCATTGTAAGTGGTGTTGTTTATAGTAACTAAAAATATATTATTTGGAAAAAGTCGAATTTGCTTCACTGTTCTATTATTTTGTAACATTTGTAACATACCGTATACCGCGAAACCGTCAAACCGTGGTATTGTTTTAGACGATTATCATACCGTGAAAAATTCATACCGTTACAACCCTAGCTGGACTAGTCGGCAGTTCGTTCTGCTGTGGCAACCCCTGATAAATAAGGGGCTAAGCCAAATGAAAATGAATGACTTATGTACATTTTTATGTATTCAAATATTATATCATTTTGCATCAAGTTACAAAAACTAAGTTGCCTCTTGTAGGAAGCGTTTGAAATACAGCGCCTATGGGGGCAGGACAGTAAATTTGATGTTGTTCTGTCTTCTGTCTGCTGTTATCAGTCTCACACTATTTTTTTTTCCTTTTTCTGAAAGTCTTGACAACACCATAGTGTAGTTTTTCTTTCATTATTTCAGCAAATATGATCGTAAAAATTATTTGTTGTGCTCTCTCATTCACTTCGCTCTAAGTTTACCCAACTATAGCTATATTTCCATCCAAAAATGCAAAATAAATTTATGCTCAAAACTGTAATATCGCTTATAAGAAAGAAGACGATGCCGACTCACATTGAATGTGTAGTGGCGTTTGAAGGTGTCAGGCGCAGAGTACAGACGCACTTGACAGTTTAGGAGGTCATTACTAATATAACAACACTAATACTGAGATAGTTAAGGTGTTTTAGAATGACCAAAACAACATTTCAGATGTTTTACAATGTGCTAAGCTGCTGGTTTGTTCATTCACACACATTTTTATCATCACATGATCTCTTCTAACAAAATCACATGACATTTTTTAATGCATACAAGTGTTTCCATCAAAGTTTATGCGTTTTTTTCCTCTTATCCAATAAAAAGTTTATCCTACTCAGTTATGCACATTAATTGTTTATGCACATTTTTTTAATTAATGGTCACCTTGGCATTTCCATCAACAGATTTGTTTTATGCGCATATCCAAAATGCGCATAAAAATAGGTGGATGGAAACGCTCATGATGACTTCCACTTCTGGGAAATGTGAAAAAGCTCCATTTTTGAGCTTTGATACAAGTGAAACTTTACTGTCTAAGTTGATGGGCTACTCAATATGCCCCACCCTATATACAGTGTTTCAGTTTAAATTACATCAAACAAAGCTGAGCATTTCAGGGGCTCTTTTATAAAACACACAGCAGGGCCCTTTATCAATCATTGTGTTCATAACCCGCAGTATTGTGACTCTCTACGGGCGTCTGCTGTGATTTATGTGAACTCGAGTAGCTTTCTGGCTGGGTGTTGAACGCCTGCTGGCCTGAGTGCCGATGTATTTTTGTTGAGGTGAACTGATTCTTTTCTGTCTAAACCGGTTTGTACTTGTTCCTAAAGAGCGTCATTACTAGAGGACACAGAGTAAACTCACACAGCTCACTATTACAAACCCACCTGGGGCAGAATAGGTCTTTAATAATGAGCAAACAAGAAGAACTGGTCTGTTTTAGTTGGAGACATGCGCCTATTTGTATATGCATTTCGGATTGTCTCATAAAAAGATACTTAATAGAAATGTCAAGATGCTCCTTTGAACAATTTAAAACATAAATTCACATAGAAAGTCTGTGGTGACATTATATTGAAACATCTGATTTTATTTTCTGAAACTACTAACCAAAGAGATATGGGATCAGAAAAATATTAATCTGTAAACTTTTTTTATATTTTAAATGAGGAAAATAAATGTGCGTTATGGATGTGACTAAAAAGTTTGCAAGTTTACAGTACACAACATACTTTGGAGAAATTCAGTGAATGAAACTGCACAACCCAGAAAACAATGCTAAGAGATGTCTCACTTAGGGCTGGGCGATAGAATCGGTATCGATATTTATTGCCCGAACACCATTGTCAATATTGATTAAAAATAAAATGTTCGTTATGTTGTTTCGGTATAAAAAAGCTCTATAATTTTATTTAAATGTGGCTTTTACTGGACTGTCCTGCTTTTAAAGGCTGCAGAAGACTTTTTATAAGATGAACTCTCTTAAGGTGCATGCGTTTGTGTTTCAGAAGGCGTGGCTTTGGATTGTAGGGGAGGGACTGTGTTTCAAAGATATTATGCTAACCGGTTAGCATTTTGGCAGATCACCTACTGCGCCTTTAAAGGGCCATGAAACCCCCCTCTTTCAGTTCAGGTCTACCTATGGATCATGGAAACAAACCCATACGATACAATACGGTCTCACCCAGTCATTGGGTCTCACAGTTTGGCAGGTCTGCCTTGCCTTTGGAAAGCACATGCTCTCATGAACAATTAAGAAGCAGGCTCTTCTCATAGGATAAGAAAACTCTGCTATGAATAATAATGAGAAACCGACGCATCATCACTCTACTAGCAGATTTGTGCTACGTCATCGATTTTAATCCCGCCACAAAAATTATTTTAAACTTGGAAGATGAAATTAGCTGACAAAAGCTCAAAATTCTCCAGTTTTCCCCACAATTAAATCTGACAGGTGCTAACATTGTCTTAACTGATGCACAAATCTGTTAAAATCTCAAAGAAGTGCTCCAGGATTTCTTGAACCTATAAGGAGATATTCAGGAGAGTGTCACAAGAAAACTTTTAGAATTTTTATCAATATTAAAGATCTTATCTAGTTTATTTATTTATTTATTTGTTGATTTTAATTATACATTTCAAATGAAATGTTCTTGCCATGAAAATAGCCTTTGTTGCTGACATTGCATTAAATAAAAAAACTTATCATCATCATCTAAGGAAGTGATTCTCAATGTGGGGGTCGGGACCCCCCGAACGGTCATGGGACAATGAAGGGGGGTCGCCTGGTGATTTCCAAAAATCTATTTTTTTTATTTAAACCATAAGAATGACCATATTTTATCCATAACCTACTGAAAAAAATTGTCGTTTATAGTTATTATATACTATATAGTTACTATAATAGCTTATAGTTACTAGTTCTATTGGAAGACACAGCAATAGCGTCAGTTGCAGCAGATTGATTTTATAACACCAGGGTAAACTTTCTGGCCCATTTACAGCACTGACATGCATTAAAAAAATTAAACGAAGAATTTGGGTGTATTGGTGTGTGTGTGTGTGTGTGTGTGCGCCATTGCATGCAAGGTTTCTTTATTTATAACCACCTTAGAGGATATTGGGGGTCGCGAGTCACTGGCATTGTTATTTTGGGGGCCGCGGGCTGAAAAGTTTGGGAACCCCTGATCTAAGATACAACTGATTTCACTCACTCACTTTACTTCGGCTTAGTCCCTGATTTATCTGCTGCCTCCACAGCAAAATGAACAACCAATTATACTCTGACATATGTTTTATGTGGCTGATGCCCTTGTAGCTGCAACTTAGCACTGAAAGTATGCTATCAGTGTAGCCCCAGTGCTGGGAAACACCCATACACTCTCATTCACGCACACACTCGTGGGATGTGTGTCTATTATTACATTCAGATCTGACAAATGAAATTAAATAAATGGTTGAATGTAATTGGCATGGTTCATAATTTTGAAGTGAGGATATTAGTTTACCTAGAGAGACGCGGGCCGGCACGGCTCTCCTGTCAATCCAGAAGGAAACCCAAGAGAGCATGACCATTAGCATTGTGGGAAAGTATGTCTGCAGCATGAAGAAGAATATGTGTCTCCTGAGGATGAAGTTTATGTACAGCCTGTTATACCAGCCTGAGAGAAACAGAGCACAGGGGATTAACAGCACACACTGAGGACAAAAAAAGAAGAGCGTTAGCAGGCTGCGATTTAATAAAAAAAATGAATACTTCAACTTGAAGAGACCCAAAAATATTATTATCATTTACTGTCCCTCATGCAGTTTTAAGCTTTTGAGTTTTTTCTTCTGTTGAACACATGAGAGATATTTTGAAGAATGCTGGTTGCTTCATTTGCCAAAGTATCTTCCTTTGGGTTCAGCAGATGAAGGAAACTTGAATAGATTTTGAAAGAGTGAAGGGTGAGTAAATGATGAGGTCCTTTTTATTTTTGGGTCAACCATACTTTTAAGGCCAAGTCAAAAACGATCAATGGCAATCGACGTTGACAAAACTGACTGTCACCAATATTTGGCATCTGTTGGGGCAGTATAAAATTCTTTTTATAAAAGTCTTTTTATTTATTTTTATTTGATTATATTTGTAAAAATATTAGTTTATTTTTATTGTAAAGAAAAAAATGTAAAGTCAAATATAATAGATTATTATATATTAATATACTATTGTAAAACATTACAATTTAAAATAATTGTTTTCCACTCTAAAGTATAATTAAAATGTATTGAGTTTTGAGCATATTCAGCCAGTCTCTGGGTCTTAAGGGAGAAAGTTAGCTTAGCTTGGCATAGATCATTGAATCAGATTAGACCATTAGCATCTCACTCAAAAATGACCAAAGGGTTTAGATAATTTTTCCTATTTAAGCTTAAGAAAATGTATAAAGAACTTTTTGGCTGCCGTACTATGCCGCACCAACTTTATTTATTTTGCCAGTAAAAGAGTATATAGTTATACAATTATAAAAAAATGAATAATTCACATATAATCGGTTGTATTACGCAATGTAACTACTGAATAATTAATTTTTAAATAGGATAATTTCAATTTTTTTTTTTTGTGCAAGATGCTAATGAACTAATCCGATTAAATGATTTATGCTAAGCTAAGCTAAAAGTGAATCAGCTGAATGGATCCAAAAATGGTGAAACTCAACTGTTTAACTATAGGAAAGTTGTAAAATAACAGCTGAATTGACTATTTTCAAAAATTTTAAATCTACACTTTTTTTGAAAATAGGCTTATTTTACAGCCCCCCCTAGAGCTAAACTGTTGGGTTTTTGAGCATATTCAGCCAGTCTCTGGGTCTGAAGAGAGAACTTTAGCTTAGCTTAGCATAGATCATTGAATCAGATTAGACCTTTACCATCTCACCCAAAAATTACCAAAGAGTCTAGGTATTTTTTTATGTAAAGCTTGACTCTTCAGTAGTTACATCATGTATTAAGAAAGTGTATAAAGTTGCCATTTTCTAGGTTAAGAACTATACTCTCATTCCAGCGTAATAATCAATGAACTTTGCTGCCGTACTATGCCGCAACTACTTTATTTATTTTGCCATAAAAAGAGTATAGTTAAATGATAAAACATATAATTTACGTCATATTACACAATGTAACTACAGAATATTGAATCTTTAAATAGGATAATTTCAATTGTTCTCTTTTTTTGTGCAAGATGCTAATGGTCTAATCAGATTCAATGATTTATGTTAAGCTAAAAGTCTGAATCAGCTGAATGAATTCAAAAATGGTAAAACTCAACTGTTTAACTGTAGAGAAGTTGTAAAATAACAGCTGAATTGACTATATTCAACAATTTTAAATCTACATATTTTAAGGAACACTCCTCTTTTTTTGGGAAAAGCTTCCCTAGAGCTAAACAGTTGAGCTTTTGAGAATATTCAGCCAGTCTCTGGGTCTAAAGAGAAAACTTTAGCTTATAGCTTAGCATAGTTCATTGAATCAGATTAGACCATTAGCATCTCACTCATAATGACCAAATAGTTTTAATAATATTCCTGTTTAAAGCTTGACTTTTTAGTAGCTACATCATGTATTAAGACTGATCGAAAGTGTAAAAAGTTGCTATTCTCTAGACTAGGTACTATACTCTTATTCTGGTGTAATAATCAAGGAAATTTGCTGCTGTACCATGCCGCAACAGCTGTGTTTGTTACTACAGAAAGAGAATATAGTTATAAATAATTATTTAAACAAATAATTTTTCAATTATCAATATACAAAATGTAACTACAGATTAGTGAAGCTTTAAATAGGATAATTTCAAAATTTACGATGATAATGGTCTAATCCAATTTAATGATGTATGCTAAGCTAAGCTAAAAGTCGGAATCGGCTGAATGGATTCCAAAATGGTAAAACTCAACTGTTTAACTCTTGAAACATTTCCGCAAAAAAGATTAGCATTCCTTTAAAAAAATTTGCACATCTATAACCTATGAAATCAAGCACAAGATATAGAAAAATCTGGCCTCTCTGTTTGATAGCTGTGATAAAGCACATGTTATTCCGGTGATAAAAGCGTTTGGGATGCAGTGAAGCACACATACCAGTGCTGCTGTAGAAGGCAAGCCCGTAGGAAGGGTGGAATTCTTCAATAAAAAACTGCGAGAGTGCAATCTCGTCAGTCCTTAATGAATCGTTCCCATTCTTCCAATAGAGCATGAGGTCGTTCTCATTGTACGCGTCTTCAAGAGAGCAAAGAAAAGGAGGACGAGTGAGACCACAAAACTCTCTGTGAAGATGCATGTGCGTCAGTCCTCAGAGGAGAGAATACAGAGCATTCAACACACAGCGCTCCATCATCTCTCCTCTAAAGCTCAAACACATGCAGTTATCCATGAAAGAGACAGATATGAATTAGATTATCAATCAGACTGTTAGACTGTAGAGTAACTAAAGAAGCATTATTCTGAATAGGATATAACTGTCACTTTAATATTAAAAGAGCATTCACCCATAAATGAATGTTGTGTCATCATCATCATGTTGTTTCAAATGCTTAGGATTTTTTTTTCTAGTTCTTATATGTAAGGAATGTTTTGAAGAATGTTCAAGCTGCTCAGCTATCGACAGGTATTGAAATAATATATAATGACTGTAGTGAATGACTTGATTAAATCTGTGACTAGTGAATGTTCGTTATTTATATATAGTCAAGTCCGAAATTATTCATACCACAAATAAAAGCTGAAAATTGTTAATTTTTTTTCCACAATTCTGCCTTTTGTACATCGTCTCATTATCTTTTGGGAAAAGCTTTGAGTGTAAGTAGCCTTTAATTTAAAAGTAACAGAATTTGCCAAGGGTAGATTTTTAATGTATTAATTTAATTGAGTTTTTTTGTTTAGTTTTGTTTTCATTCATTCATTCATTTTCTTTTTGGCTTAGTCCCTTTATTAATCTGGGGTCGCCACAGTGGAATGAACTGTCAACTTATCCAGCACATGTTTCACACAGCGGATGCCCTTCCAGCTGCAACCCATCACTGGGAAATCATTCACACACATACATTACAGACAATTTAGCTTCTCCAGTTCACGAATAGCACATGTCTTTGGACTTGTGGGGGAAACCAAAGCACCCTGGAGGAAACCTGTGCGAACACAGGGAGAACTTCACATAGAAATGCCAACTGGCCCAGCCTAGGTTCGAACCATTGACCTTTTTGCTGTCAGGCGACAGCGCGCCGCCCTTTATTTTATTTAGTTTAGTTTTTTAAAATTTTATTTATTAATTTAATTTTAGTTTTGTTTTTGTTTTGTTCATTTTATTTGGTTTGTTTTTTTAGTTTTGTTTTATATATTTATTTATTTATTAGTTATTTATTTATTTTAATTTAATCAAATTTTATTTTATTTTACTTTTAGTTTTTTGTTTAGTTTTATTTAATTTAATTTTAATTAATTTAGTAATGAATAAATGAATTAACTAGTGGTGGAGCAGTGAGTAGCACTGTCACCTTACAGCAAGAAGGTTGCTGGTTCAAGCCTTGCTAGGTTGGCATTTTCATTTGGTTTTCCTTCAGCTTAGTCCCTTATTTATCAGGGGTCAGCACAGCGGAATGAACCACTAACTGTTCCAGCAAATGTTTTACGCAGTGAATGCCCTTCCAGCCGCAACCCAGTACTGGGAAACACCCATACACTCTCACATTTACTGTCAAACACTATGGCCAATTTTGTTTACCTAATTCACCTAATAGTGCATGTCTTTGGACTGTGGGGGAAACCGAGCACCCAGAAGAAACCCACGCCAACACAGGGAGAACATGCAATCTCCACACAGAAATGCCAACTTACCCAACTGGGACTCGAACCAGCGACCTTGCTGTAAGGTGAAAGTGCTAACCACTGAGCTTCTGTGCTACCTTTAAATTTTGCACTGAATTAAAAAATTTCTAGCAATATGGAGGACATTAAGAGCATATATTAATAATAGATTCTGGTGGAGAAGTAATACAAACCAAATACTACTGGCTGTTTTTAAAGGGGGATTGGCTGCTCAATATGCCATGCCCTTACCGTTTTACTGGAAATTATATCAACACAGTGAATATATATTTCAAGGCTCTACAGGGCAACTTTAATAAGATATTGTAGTGTGTGATTTTGTGCATGTTAAAGATTTGAGGGATTAAAGCAAATCCTCATGTAGTGAGCAGTGTGAACATTCTGTGAAATGTCTTCTTTTTATGTTTCAGAAAGAAAGTCAGTCATGGGGGTTTGAAACAACATGAGGGTGAGTAAATTATGACAGAACAGTTCAATTTTGGGTGACAATGTCTCTTTATCACAACAGAGGATTTAGGATGTATTTACAGGTGTACTGAGAACAAGTGCTTTGGTTAATGATTTCCTTGTCCTGTGTTGGTACTTATTGTGGAGTGTACACACACACACCCACACACACACACTCACTCACACACATACACAGATACATTACATTTCCTCAGTCATTGTAAAGGTAAAGCTAAACCAGTATACACACATACATAGACAGACGCACACACACACACACACACACACACACACACACACACACACACACACACACACACACACACACACACACACTCTCTCTCTCTCTCTCTCTCTCTTTCTCACTCACAGACACATGCTCACATACACACAAATACACATGCATAGACGCACATGCAGACAGATGGTTGCACACAAGCACTGAAACAGACAAATGCGCGCACACACACTTTCACATACTCTCTCACACACACACATACAAACAGACGCTCACACACACACACACACACACACACACACACACACTGAAACAGGTGTTTACTCACTCACTCTCTTATTCAGAGAGTGATGCACACACACATGCAGACACACTCTCCTACTCTCGCACACATACAGACAGATGCTTACACACTCTCTCTCTCTCTCTCTCTCTCTCTGTCTCTCTGTCTCTCTTTCTCTCTCTCTGTCACACACACACACACACACACTCATGCTCATACTCACAGCTCTCCAGCTCCAGAGAGCAGTTCTGTGTGTCCAGTGGGAAGCGGCTGAAGTCCATGGAGCAGAGGGCCGTCACTGTGATTCTGCAGTTCATAACATATCACTTACAAACACACTGAAACTGTCCCAACACACACACGTTTAAGAAAGGTTTCAGAAGAATTGAGCTGAAAAGTTTCCTCATGCACACCTGATCACACACACAAGTCGACACTTGCAGTGTACACAGGCCGGGCACTTCTTGGAAAATTACAACTCGTCCAACTAATCAGGAGCATTGAGAAAACGCCACACCTCATTTGTCAGTTAAAGTAAATAAAGGGGAATGTGACTTTCCTCTGTGAAACCTAAATGAGATGCAGATGTGCGCTGATAATGTTCACTAAAAGGTTGGAAGTATTTCTTTATTTTAATAATGGAATTAACATTTATTCAGTCATTCATTTTCCTTCGTCTTAGTACCTTTATTCACCAGGGGTCACCGCTGCGGAATGAACCATCAACTATTCTGGCGTATGTTTTACAAAGCGGATGCCCTTCAGCTGCAACCCAGTACTGGGAAACACCCATACACATTCATTCACACACATACAGTACTTATTCAAATCACCTATACCTGTACCCCCCTGTGGAGGAAACTCCAGTGCTTTCCAGTCCAAAGACATGCGATATAAGTAAATATTTATTGACCGAACACCAGTGTCAATATCAATTAAAAATCAGATTCGGTATAAAGTTTTGGTATGAGAGCTATAGTTTTATTAAAATGTGGCTGCTAAGCGTGCGCCTTGGAAGGAATGCTGATAAGCTTAGGGTGTAAGTTTGTCGTTTTCATTGGACGCATGCGGTGTGCAAGCACCGCACACGACACGCACACATTTTCCAGGTACACCTAGTTAAAAAACATCTGAGCTTTTCTGAATGGCGTGAGCGCATCACGGTTCATGCAAGTAGAACTAACCAATCTGCTTCACACTTTGTATGGAATTTACACATTTCAGTAGTGACGGCAGACTAATTTACCTGAGACAAACAAAGTGCACCCAAACACTGCAGTGCTTTTTCTCCATAAACTTGCATCGGAGCTGCAGCAATCATTTATTCATTTGTCATCCTCCAAGAAAACAGTTGATGGTTACCTGATTACGACAGACGCCATAGAAAATGAAGGAAACCCTCTTGCACTTGTCACTTGAAAAACATCACATGTTAAAAGGATTTAGGGGGTCTGAGTAGAAATATAGGGGGCTACAGCCTCCCTAAAATAGGCCTAGCAACGCCCATGCTATGGTCAAAATTGACCTGTGCATTAAATACTTGTAATCAATCAGAATTAAGAATTTCGACAGCGCGTAGAATAAGGACCCTTAATATGCACCTTTATGGAGAATTCCTCAAAATATCAAATATTGTGTTTCACAGAAAAAAGTTGTTCAGACAGGTTTGGAATGAAGCAAGGTGGAGTAAATGGCGGCAATAACTGTTTTTCTTATATTTGGGTGGATGTGCCTTTCATCACACACTTTACTTGAACGGTAGAGATCTTAAAACATCTCATTTCCTCCTTGTGAAATGTCTAAACGCCCCAGGGAAACTGCCAGCTTACAGCTCTTGTGAAAACATCTGGTTTCAGAAAAGAGGCTTGATGCGGTACCTGACGCTGTAAAGAATGTTCCCGTCTGGAAAGACTCTGAGCATGATGTTTTCCATGGTCGTGTCATGAATGAAGGAACGCTTGGAGTGAACAAAGAAGACGTCTGGCACCCAGATCTTTTTCACCAGCCGCGCGTCAAATGTTCGGCTCTTGTTATTGCTGGAGGGGAAGGCCAGCCTGTCGTCCTGCCAGTAATGCCTGAGGTACAGTGTCATGGTGAAGTCCTATGCCCACAAAAGACATGAGAGCGCATCTGGTGAGTTTGCATTAGACACTCCCTAATACTTTCATTGTTATTGTGTATATGATTATACCTGCTGCCAAATATTTGTTTTCACTGCCTAACACACCTACTTACAATTGTGAATTAATTTAATTTAATTTAATTTATAAAAAAAAATGTAAATAAAAAAGTCAATAAAATAAATCTAAATTGTTGCTTGAGTAAAATAAAAAAAATATGTAAGTAAAAGAATTCTACAAATAAAAAAAAATAAAAATAAATGCATATTAGTACTTAGGAGGAATAAAATGAGAAGCAGAAAAATATAGCTTGAGAATGTGAAAATAAAAAGGAACAAAAAATTAAACAAAACTTAGTAAAAGGACAATAAATAGAATAATTAGTGCTGGGCAAAATTTAATCATGATTAATCACATCTAAAATAAAAGTTTGTTTTGACATAGTATATGTGTGTGTATTTTATACATGTATATACACACTCACACATTCACCGGCCACTTTATTAGATACACCTTACTAGTACTGAGTTGGACCCCTTTTGCCTTTAGAACTGCCTTTTAATCCTTCGTGGCATAGATTCAAACAGGTACTGGAAATATTTCTCAGAGATCTTGGTAAATTTTGACATGAAAGCATCACGCAGTTGCCGCAGATTTGTTGGCTGCACTTCCATGATGCGAATCTCCTATTCCACCACATCCAAAAGGTGCTTTATTGTATTGATGTCTGGTGAGATGCTCTTCTGCAGACCTCGGTTGTAACAAGTGGTTATTTGAGTTATTGTTGTCTTTCTATCAGCTGAAACCAGTCTGGCCATTCTCCTCTGACCTCTGGCATCAACAAGGCATTTGCACCCACAGAACTGCCAATCACTGGATATCACGGATGGTTGTGCATGAAAATGCCAGTAGATCAGCAGTTTCTAAGACCCACCCTTCTTTCACCAACAACCATGCTACATTCAAAGTCACTGCAGCAGATTGTCTTGACCATGTTGACATACCTAAATGCATTAAGTTTCTCCCATGTGATTGGCTGATTAGAAAGTTGGACAGATGTACTTAATAAAGGGGCCGGTGAGTGTGTGTGTGTGTGTGTGTGTGTGTCTGTGATACACACACACATACATTAAAACTAAATTCCCCAAAGCCATTGTTACATAGATGTTTAAATTTATATTTAATTTGAATCATATTCATTTAAATTTTATATCTAAATATAAATGAACATTTCCTCAAATACATGCATGCATGTGTGTATTGATATGTACATAATAACTATACACAGTAAACACACATATTTTAAGTCAAAACAAACTTTTGGATGCTGTACTATCAGAATGTCGGGCGATAAATTGAGTCAGGTTTCTTTCCAATTCCTTCCAAACATTACAAACAAAGGAATAGAGGTGAAATCTGCAAATGTACAAAACTAAACATATCAGCATGTAAACTGTATAGACGGAGCAAACCATTCTGCAAATTAAGCTCACTTTCTAGAGCAAATTATGACTCTACAAGATGTGATTATTTGCCATTCATTTTTGTGCAGCACTAAAATAATATTAAGAAACAAAAATCGAAATAGAACTTGCATACATAAAAAAAGATAAACAGTACGCAGAGCAAAAATAGAAAGAAATGTGTCTTATAACAGAAAAATGTAATAAAAAATGGTTTTCTGCATTATTCTAAACTACACTGTAAAAAGCGATCAGTAAGTTTACTTTAAAAAAGTGAGTAAACCCATTGCCTTTAAAGCAACAACTTAATTTTACTTAAAGTCATTAAACCCATCAACTTAACTTTATAACTATGCGCATAATTTCTTTACTTAATAATCAAGCAACGGGTTTACTCTCTCATTTTTAAGTAAAGTCAATTAATCGCTTTTTACAGTGTAGCAATTCCAAGATCAGGTGTTTAATTTCTAAAGCAAGCAAGAAATAAAGCACAAACATAACATAAAAGCAAATATAATAGAAATGTGCTTGAGAACATCATGATGAATCCCACATGAACACCTCAATGGATTTAGCATGCTATTCTGCACATGTTCATAGTCTTTGCTGCGTGATGATTTTCACCTTTGCCCTCTGCCTCAGTGGTGAATCCAATCTGTTTAAATGACTGAGGATTTAAGCTTGATGTGTGACGAGCGTGAAGAAGGCTCGCAGGCGTGAAGGCGTGCAGAGCTCAACGACAGGTTAAAGGTTAGAAGTAATTTATAAAAGAGCAGACACTCACCATATTGACCTCTGAAATGCCGTCAATGCTCTCCACTTGCACATCGATGCCCACTGGAATAGCCGAACCTGACCAGTGTCACAAACAGAAGAAATGTGGGCAGAAATGAGGAAGATCATGCTTAAAATGAAAAACACTAACCGAACTGTTGACTTTTATGGTGGTTGATCTTCTTTTTGATGCAATAACAGGCAGCATGACCAGAGAATGTGATTCACATCATGAGTTGATAAGTGTAAGTGGTTCTTTTTAGTGAACGAGCAATCAGTGAGTCTGATTCAAATCACAAACTAATGACTCTTATGTAATGGTACATGTAGTGAATTAAATGCATTGTTATATGTGAATCTAATTCATGCAACAAGCAAATGACTCTTATGAGTCTTACAGCGTAATCATTGAATCTGATTCACATCATAGACTAAATGACTCTTTTAAGCTGGTTGTTTTTATTAAATCAAATGTATACTAAGCAATCAAGGCCAATGATTCTCATGATCTGGTTCTTTTAGTAAATCAGATATAAAGTATGCGGCAATAAGTGACCAGTGAATCTATTTTATGGAAGAAGCTAATGACTCTCATGAGCTGGTTGTTTTACAGAGTCAAAAACTTGATTGTAACTGGTTCTTTTTAGTGAGTCTAATTAAAATCACAAATTTATGTAATAATACTTTTAGTGAATTAAATGCATGCATTGTGATCAGTGAATCTGATTCATGTTACAAGCATGTTACTCTTATGAGTCTTACAGCGTAATCAGTGAATCTGATTCACATCATAGACTGGTGACTCTTTTGACTCTTTTTGTTTTGAGTGAATCAAATACATACCAAGCAATCAAGTGTGATTTCTGTCACATGCTAATGATTCTTATGAATCACTTACAGCATAATCAGTGAATCTGATTCACATTTTGAGCTGATGATTCTTATGAGCTAGTTGTTTTAATTGAATGGACTGGTTCTTTTAGTGAATCTGATACATGCAGCGGTGAGTGACCCGTGAATCTGATTTATCTTAAAAGCTAATGACTCTTAAGAGCTGGTTGTTTTACAGAGTTAAATGCTTAGTTCAATCAGTAAATCTGATTCACACTACAAGCTTATGATTCTTATGAGCTGGTTGTTGTTATTGAGTCAAAAACTTACAGCATAATCAGTGTATTCCCTCACATTACAGACTGATGACTCCTTTGATCCTTGTTTTCAGTGAATAAAATACATACCAAGAAATCAAGTGTGATTTCTGTCACAGGCTAATGATTCTTATGAACTTGATGTTTTAGTGAATTAGGTACATGCAATGTTACTAGTGACTCTGACTCGCATAACATACTAAAGCCCCTTTAGAGTTCATTCTCTTTTGCTTATGACTCTTCTGAGCTGGTCAAAAGCTTACAGCATGACAAGTGAATCAGATTCACATCACAAGCTGATGACTCTTATGTAATGGTGCTTTTAATGAATTAAATACATGCATTGTGACCGGTGAATCTGATTCATGTAACAAGCAAATGACTCTTTTGAGTCTTACAGCGTAATCAGTGAATCTGATTTATATCATAGACTGGCGAATCTTTTTGTTTTTAGTGAATCAAATATATACCAAGCAATCAAGTGTGATTTCTGTCACATGCTAATGATTCTTATGAATCACTTATACAGCATACTCAGTGAATCTGATTCACATCTTGAGCTGATGATTCTTATGAGCTAGTTGTTTTAATTGAATGGACTGGTTCTTTTAGTGAATCTGATACATGCATCGGTGAGTGACCAGTGAATCTGATTCATCTTAAAAGCTAATGACTCTTACGAGCTGGTTGTTTTACAGAGTTAAATGCTTAGTTCAATCAGTAAATCTGATTCACACTAAAAGCTTATGATTCTTATGAGCTGGTTGTTGTTATTGAGTCAAAACTTACAGCATAGTCAGTGTATTTGGCTCACATTACAGGCTGATAACTCCTTTGAATCTTGTTTTCAGTGAGTCAAATACATACCAAGCAATCAAGTGTGATTTCTGTCACAGGCTAATTTTTCTTATGAACTGGATCTTTTAGTGAATTAGGTACATACAATGTTACTAGTGACTCTGACTTGCATAACATACTAAACATACTAAAGCCCCTTTAGAGTTCATTCTCTTTTGCTTATGACTCTTCTGAGCTGGTCAAAAGCTTACAGCATGACAAGTGAATCAGATTCACATCACAAGCTGATGACTCTTATGTAATGGTGCTTTTAATGAATTAAATACATGCATTGTGACCGGTGAATCTGATTCATGTAACAAGCAAATGACTCTCATGAGTCTTACAGCGTAATCAGTGAATCTGATTTATATCATAGACTGGCGACTCTTTTTGTTTTTAGTGAATCAAATATATACCAAGCAATCAAGTGTGATTTCTGTCACATGCTAATGATTCTTATGAATCACTTGCAGCATAATCAGTGAATATGATTTACATTTTGAGCTGATGATTCTTATGAGCTAGTTGTTTTAATTGAATGGACTGGTTCTTTTAGTGAATCTGATACATGCAGCTGTGAGTAACCAGTGAATCTGATTCATCTTAGTAGCTAATGACTCTTACGAGCTGATTGTATTACAGAGTTAAATGCTTAGTTCAATCAGTAAATCTGATTCACACTACAAGCTTATGATTCTTATAAGCTTGTTGTTGTTATTGAGTCAAAAACTTACAGAATAATCAGTGTATTTGGCTCAGATTATAGACTGATGACTCATTTGAATCCTTGTTTTCAGTGAATCAAATACATACCAAGCAATCAAGTGTGATTTCTGTCACAGGCTAATGATTCTTATGAACTGGTTCTTTTAGTGAATCAGGTACATGCAATGTGACTAGAGAATCTGACTCACATAACATGCTAAAGACCCTTATGAGTTAATTTTTTTTGCTTATGACTCTTCTGAGCTGGTCAAATGCTTACAGCATAATCAGTGAATCTGATCTCTTATGAGCCAGTTGTTGTTATAGAATCACAAACTTACAGCATAATCAGTGTATTCGAATCACATTACAGGCTGATGACTCTTTTGAGTTGGTTGTTTTTAGTGAATCAAATACATACCAAGCAGTCAAGTTGGATTTCTGTCACAGGCTAATGATTCTTATGAACTGATTCTTTTTTATAGAGTCAAATACTTACAGTTTTATACGTAAATCTGATTCACATTACCACCTGATGACTCTTATTTGCTGGTTGATTTAATGGAATCAACAACTTACAGCAAAATCAGTTTCTAGCTAATGACTCTCATGAGTCTTACAGCGTAATCAGTGAATTTAATTCACATCACAGACTGATGACTCTTTTGAGCTGGTTGTTTTTAGTGAATCAAATACATACTTTGGAATCACCTGTGATTTCTGTCACAGGCTAATGATTCTTATGAGCTGGTTCTTTTAGCGAATCAGATACTTGCAGTGTGACTAGTGAATCTGACTCACATACTATGCTAATGACTCTTATGAGCTAATTTTTTTTACTCATGACTCTTCTGAGCTGGTCAAAAGCTCATAAAGCAGTAATAAGCAGTATAATCAGTGAATCTTGCTGATGACACTTTTTGAGCTGGGTGTTTTTAGTGAATCAAATTCATACTGAGCAGTCAAGTTTAACTTGTCACAGGGTAATGATTCTTATGAATTGGTTCTTTTTTGTATATTAAAAATATTATACAAATATATGTATAATATAAAACATGTTACAAACTAGGTGACTACTGTAAATGAAGTGGTTCTTTTAGTGAATCAAATACATGCAATGTGACCAGTGAAAATGATTCACATAACAAGCTAATGACTCTGACAAACTATTTTAGTGAATTAAACACTTACAGTGCAACCTGTGAATCTGATTCTCATTCCAAACTAACGATTCGTATGAACGTTTTATTTTTAGCGAATCAAATAGTACACAATCAATGAATCTGATTTATTTTACAAGCTAATGACTGCTATGAACTGTTTTTTAGTTAATCAGATACGTGCAATGTGACCAGTTAATATGATTCACATAACATGCTACTGACTCTTATGAGCTAAATCTTTTTTTTTGCAAATAACTCTTCTGAGTTGTTCAAAAACTTACAGTGTAATCAGTGAATCTGATTCACATCACAAGCTGATGACCCTTATGAGCCAGTTGTTTTTATTGAGTGAAAAACTTATAACAAAATCAGTGTATCTGATTCACATCACAGACTGATGACTCTTTTCATCTGGTTGGATTTAGTGTAGCAAAAAACCAAATATCATTGAGAGCCGCGGGCCGAAGGTAAATATAACAAACTATATTGCATTAAAGATGCCATCGGTTATTTCCTAATTTTTTGGAAAACATTAATTTAAATGCTAATTTAAATTAATGCTTAACTAATGCAGTAAAACTTCTAAAATAGTATCTGATTGCAAGGAAAACAAAAACAATCACATTTATAACAGTGGAGCTCAATGCTGAATACACTAGTCATGCAGAATCTGCCTTTGCCTTCATTTGTCCTCTACCTGTCGGGTGACAGTATGTACATTTAAACTAAATCTGATTAATTTACACAGCTTAATTGTAGCATTCAATTTCAGTTAGCTTTTAACGTTAAAACAAACAAACAAACAGTTGCCTTAGTTTTGAAAGGATAATCTCTAAACTATCCTCAACATTCTCCCTCTCTTCTCAGATGGGATGGCGGGCTAAATCAAAGGTTACCATGGTCCAACTTTAGCCCGCAGGCCCTACTTTGGGCATCTCTGCGATTAAATGAATCTGATTCTTTTTTTCAAACTAATGACTCCTATCAACTAGATCTTTTAGTAAAGCAAATGTAACCAATGATTCTGACAACAGCAATGACTCTTTCCTCTAAAGTGACTCCTTTATGAATTAGCAGGAGTAGTTTCTCAAGTAATCTGACAGATTTACTGAACTGTAAGGCATTAATGTGTTATGTTTTTTATTATTTATTAAACTTATTTCTAATCATAATAGTTTTAATAACATCTCTAATAACTGATTTATTTATCTTTGTCATGATG